AATTAGATCTTGAAGCTCTCATTAATACTTATTCTTGTTAGTGTTTACTGTTGAAACTTGATTTGTTTGAGAAATCACACAAGCTTAAGAGAACTCTGCCTACTTTCACAGTTCTGTTATGTGACAGGAAACAACACAGGTATTCGACCAGGGTATGGACAGTTCTGGGTTTGTGTTCATGCACCACCCAGTGGAAAAATGACCATACAGTAAAATAAGCACAACAGAGTTGTGACCAGTGACCATCATCTAGCTATGGTTTCACAGCTCACCGAGAAGAAGCCGCTGACAAGCTGGGCGATGCTGGAGAAGGCCGCTCTGTGGTTATCATCCTGAGGCAGGCAGCAGCACAGCAGGCGCAGCCGGCTCTCCCATACACGCACAGCTAGTGATCGTGCAGTGTAAAAGAGCTGCGAGGACTCGCTACTCTGCAGATCTCTCAGGCCCGAGGACTCGCCGATCAGGGTTGGCCGTCGTAGGCTGCCCAACGGGTCGAAGACTATCAACACGCCCAAAACCATGGCGAACAAGATGATCCAGCTAGGGAGGAGGACAAGACAGCATGTCAACCCTAAGCCAGTTTTACTGCATTGACTGCATGGCCAAAACATACAGATAACTACATTTTTGAATGCTGGAATTAATAAGAGTGCTTTTCTGTGGTTCCCTTAATAGTATTAGGTCTAAATACACCAAGCTGATTAGCTCACTTAGCAGGAATGTACAGGTTGGGCTCTAGCTATCAACTCCTAATCTACAATCTTGTGTTGTTTATCACCCATTCAATAAATCAATAAAATTAAATTCTAACTGTATGTCAGCTATCTGACTTTGCTACAGCTGCTCAAATGCTGCTTGTCTGCTAGTCCGAAATTATTGTTTCACCCACCTAGCAACCACAGCGCCAATTACAAGACCAATCTCAGCTGGTTCACATTCTCCACTGTTATCAGATACCCAGACGGCTCCAAGACAGGCCCAAACAAACTCAGGGATGTAAAGGACTGCACGAAGATATACCAGGACTGGCATTGAGCGTCGTGGACCTGGATTCATTATGGTTCCTTAGATAAAGACATGAGAGAAGTACATTTTAGTTTCTAATGAACATATGAAATGTTCATTAAGTACACAGATTGGTCTCAGACGACTGTTCTCCAATGGATAAGGCTTACCTTGAGCACTGACGTAAACAACTGCACATAAGGTTAAGATAATGACAGCAAGCAGGACGAGGAGGACAACAAGGTAGCTATGCAAAACAACTCCACCACGACAATCAAACTTTCCTTTGTGTGTGGCATAGAGGACTACAGTAGCAATCCACCTGAGAGAAAACAAAGAGCTTTAAATGTGAGGACAGTTCACAGTGTGTCTGGCAGGTAATATTTTCTCCTACACTTGACTACAAGCACTGTCTCTGGCATAATGGTTCATACTTGTGGTAGCTACAAAGACTTTATATCTCTGAGCATATACATTCATATGCAAACGTTTGGGCACTCTTGGTTAAATTATGTTTTGTTGATTTTGTGAAAATATGTTAAGGCATCCTTTACAGAGAACACACTTCTGCAAAAATGTGGCCTGTGCCAAATTTGTCACATTTTGTTTTTTTCCCCAATATGTTAAACTCTGAAAATAAATAGAAACTGTGCGCTAAAATTTGTAGAAAATGTCCTTTGTTCCCCATGGAGGATGTGTTGATCCTTATTTTCACTTAGAAAGCCTACAAAACACGAACTGACTGGGGATATTGCATACAACTGTATAATGATTTTCATAACAATCCAGAGTTGCCCAAATTGTCAGATTTGCCAAATTATGATGCAATCAAAGCTCGGGGGGAACACACTGTGCAATATCTGAAATCCTAATATGTGAAAACTACAGGTGTAATTATGTCAATCAAGTATCAAAAATCACACACACACGCACACATTCCCTGACACTGCTTATCCTTTTGGGTTGCGGGGGGTTGCGGGGGTGGGGGGGCTGGAGCCTAACCCAGCAGTCATTGGGTGAAAGGCAGGATGCACCCTGGACAGGTTGTATCAAAAATCAGAAAAATAAATATTTAAAACAGTGTTCTGAAATTTAAAAATGTATCGCTAATGCACCTCTCTTTTTTCTGAGGGTCTCTCAGTTTCTGCCTTTTGTAGAAAACACTGTCAGTGATTCAAACTAGTGTCCATGGGGTTCAACCTATTTTTGTATTGCTTCACAAGATCTCTAAAAATCTGTTCTTTAAAAAAAATTTGTATTTTTCTCAGGAAAACAATCGTGAAGCATTTATTTTTGTAAAAAAATAAGCTCTGTAGAGTTAAGACACAGTAATTTGACAAAATACACAAAATACTGAAAATCAAATCAAATCCAAATCGTTACACACTTTAACTAAAACTGCGATACGAACCAAGACTGAATTTCACTCACAAGGCTCCCTCCTTCCTATACATGTTACTCATGAAACTGTGGTTCCTCCACTCACACAGGGCACTAAAGGGGTTCGTTCAGTTTTTAAAAGAACATAAATGGCTTTACATTCAACATTTAACGTACGATTTGGGTGTACAAGCCGTTATTTCACGACTTTACGTCATGAACGTTACACGATGCATGCACTACATAGGGTACAGAGAGCCGTTTAAGACTGAGATTCAGCTGTAAGACACACATTGGCCAAAAAAGCTACCCGGCCTCTTACCACAGGACTCGAATGAACAGCTCAAAGGCGCCCGGCAGTACAAGATCATCACTGGCGATTCCCCACCGCCGACCAAACACGACCATGCCAGGCATGGTGACAGCTCAGAGGGAGCGGAGTGACAGCTGATCCAGCCTGGGCTCAGGAAACCGAAACGCCGTTTTGTAAAACCTCGCCAACGCCCAAGGGAAGGGAACTTACGCAGTCAGCGCGGTCTTCCCAGGCTTAACTCACACTCTTTGCGCTAGCTGACTCGCAAACGATAACCTCTCCTTAACATTTTCAGTCCGGATTAGCAGTAGTGGCACGACAAAAACAACATGACGGAGCCTCTCCAGCTGGAAGAGACCGAAGCCGAAATATTATTAGCTACCCTAAACAGTCAGCTATCAAACTTCACTGCAGAAAGAATACAGTCAAATTATCCGCGGCTGAAATCACCCGGCCCCTTGTTTAAATATACTTAACACCCTAAGGAAAGAAAGCGAAGATTCATATTTGTTATAAACGATTATTTACACAGCTCGTTAGCTGTGCGCGACATTTAGCGAGCACTCTGTTATTTTCTGTTTCTGAGGTGTAACACTTAAATCCTCCGCCGGCTTTCTGCACTCTGCGAGATCCGTTCCGTTCCGTGACGTTTTCCCTTGAAGAAGAAAATATTTTTGCGACATAGTTATATTAGTAATTTATACCGCAGCAATCATACTACACTTATCATTTAATCCAATGTGTGAATCTGTACATACAATACATATAAATGCAAATATTGATACACGAAGAGATAGAATCGTTAACAAGGGTCAGTTGTACGTCTGTTATTACTTAGTCCAAAGCTTGAATATACGAGCGGTTAAAAGTAATCACAGTTTAACCGTTTGAGATCACTGTTTTCAATAAAATTAAACAAAAAATGGTGCACAAAATGTATCAAATCATTCTATTGAAATGCTACTACTCTACAACTTGAATCACAAACTTGAAATATTAAATATATTTAATATCTTTATTAAAAACTCTGCTAAAAAATAACATAGAGCAGCACAGCTTGTCACCAATTAAAGCAGCATGTGTTGTGTTTGGATGCTGGTGTGTTGGTCAACCAGCATGACCAGCATAAACCTGCTTATGGAACACATGCTGGTCTGTGCTGCTTTTTTCAGCAGGGTATGCCTTTCTATAGGATGCCAGTCTACACTGTATGCGTTATTACTGAATAAACTAACAGCCGTTATTAATATGGTAAGTGATTCCCAACTTTTGAACAGTAGTGTACATACTAGACATGTGCCGATATTTTAGAAAGTTACCATCACTACACTTCAGTCAAACAAACTGCTGTTTCATCTGAGATTTCTTACACAAGCGGAGCAGCACTGGCTTCATCATGTCCCACTACGCTGTCACCACACAGCCCGACAAAAATCTAGAGGAAACCAAGGACATGATGCCCATTAAGGCTGCCACAATACAGGATTCCAGCAGTTAATTAAGACTGCTGTCCAATTATGCAGGGAGTCATTAGGGACGTTTTTTCAAAGAAACAAAGCCCCAAAATATACAACCAACAACATTGTTTTAAAAAAATGACATTCAGAACACTTACATACTTACACTATACATAGTGTTTTTTATACAATACTCTGATAATTTCCCCTTTTTAAAAGGAAAAAATTCACTACTTTTCCAAAATTTCTGCATCTGCTGAGATGTGAACTGTCAAGACTGGTTTAATGTAAAATGCTCTGTTCTGGAGAAACTTACCAACTCCGATTTCTTTACAGTGGTGCTGCTAGGTATCAGGGGGCACAATGTCTGCCACACAAATATGACCATTTTATTTAGTATCCAAAATCACCAGTGAACCTACACACATCTTTTAAGTCACCTTGCAACAATCTGCATGTACCTCTCCACCATTAACGCCCTATGCCAAAACATTATCTCAAAACTTTCATTGAACAATGTAAAAGTCATCAGGCAGCGTATTCATGACATTTTCATGTAATCATTTCCTCTGAGAGAGCTTTTAGGACTGAACTCTTCAGATATCTTCAGTCTGGTTCCTATCACCACCACTGTGAACAATTCTGACTCTGCATTTTTCTGTAGAACAGAGCATTTCACATCAAACCCATCTATATGATTTTGTTTACATCTTCTAATTTAATTAGGCAGAAATTTTGATTCAAGATTCATTGAAAAGAAAATACAGTCCATGATTAAGTTTAATTCCTGCCCAGAATAATTTAATAATAATGTAATTATAGAACAAGACACAGCAAAACAAATAGTGTTTCCCATAAAATCTTTATTTGAGGTGGACATCATGCAAACCTGAATAACTAAAAAAACTGCTTTTTGCTGAGCAAAAAAAAAGGAAAATTATAATCCAGAAATAATCATAATAAAAAAAAAAAAATATCAATTCCAATTTGCAACAATGCCCATCCATCAGTGATTAGAAACAAAATATAACAGTAAAGTATAGCTCAATATACAAATCATGCTTTACAACTATATGGGCAATGCTGCTGGCAATGGTTCTGACAAAAAAAAAAATCAAAGTCAAACGTTCAATATGTAAGATAAATGTCTGGAACGTCAGTCCCTCAATTATTAAGTTATATGCTACCTCAACGAATTTCACGTTTTTTTCAATTTTAGAAACGTCAGATAAAATGTTAAAAAAGCACATTGGCCAACATGATTAAAATCTGGTAAATATATATATACGCAATATGTGTATGTCAAGAGTGGAAAAAAACATTTTTGAAGCAAAATGCATCATTTGGGTAAATGAAATACCCAATTAGCAGTGAAAATAAAGCAGTGTGCAAACTGATGCAAACATGACTCTGGTGCAAAAAAAAGAGGGAAAAAAAAGAAAGAAAACACATCAGCTTCCACATTGCTACAGACTTGATTATTTTGAAATTTTCCATCTCACAAACTTAGGAAAACACTGAAAAGGTGCTCTTTCATTCTAATAAAAAACAAAATATGAGAGCTGACCAGAGCATGGGGCAAAACCGCTGTTTTGAGATTAGCCTTCCTTTGCAAAGGAATCTACATAGGGTGATAATGTAAAAACAACCATTCCTCAAACAAATCTGTCACAGAGAGTAATTTGTCCAACCAACACTCATCTAGAGTTTCAGTAAACAATGTACATTTATTAAGATTGCAAATACTCTTACAAATATAGTCAATATTCAGCAAGAATAAGTCCCCTTGACCATTACACACCGCCAAATTTTAGGCAATTTCAGCTCTTTTATGATGCCAGGAGCCAAACTGAAGGGAATACACATTTCATGTAGAAAACACTTCTTACTTTTTTCCTTAGTGCCTAATAATGAAAAAATAGTAAGGCAACCAACAAAAAACAAAAATCAGGAATCCAAATAATGGGGAAGCCGAGGGTTTGCCACAGTTTGAATCCAAAACTGTCCCAGAGCTGGTCAAGGTTTCAGGAAAAAGAGAAGTGGATCCCTTTTGTATTCCATCTCAGGCATCTTACTCAAACTTGGTGTCAGCGGTGTCCTGTGCCCCCACGCACAACTGCCAAGGCTCTGGCTTTGGCACTTAAGCTGGCAAACTCAGCTTCTTTCCTTTCAACACTATAAACAGAAACAGACACATTAAGGATCCAGAAAATCACAAGTGGTTTTACGTCCTCTATCTATGTATCTAAGTGTCTATTGTCTATCTAGATGCATACAGTGTACTTGACCATTGCTTCTGATATTCTGATGATCACATTTACTGTTCTTTCACTATTGATAATCACTGTTTGAGAAACATTACACAAAAGTAAATATGCAACCTCTCCATTTATGTCATGTAGTTCATGTCAAAATTTAGAAGAACAAAATCCTTTACTTTCTCCTAAGCAAACGCTGCAAACAACCACCACATTTAACTAATTATGTGACATTAGGTGTGGGCAATATGGCAATCTTTATCGTGATCATGATAAGTTACTGGAGGTGTAACGATGCTAGGGACTGCGACACAGCTCTAGTCTCATTTGTGAATTTGTCAACAACATGGATAATCATAATTTTCCTTCATTCAAATCTTGTTGAAAATATGAATCGTGAGCTGAGGGTATTGTTCCACTCCGATAAATTATGTCACTTTCTCTCACAATATGCTTTTCTGAGCATAGCATCAGGGTTTAAAGAACACTGACCAACTGCCTGTTTCAATACAAAGAGGGCATAATTAGTCCTGTTTAATTGGATTTAGTGCAGCACAGAATGTAAAACGTTTAATAATAATAGGTAACTTACTGTACTTACCTTTTGTTACATAAAGATAGAAGAAATCACAATACAGGATTGTCTGAACAATGCCTGCCACGATGGCAATCATATCGAAGAATCCTTCAAAGTAGTAGCGCCAGATCCAGTTGATGAGATACAGGGCACGATAGAGCCCCAAGAAGAACAGATAGTGGGTGGTTATAGTCTCAGCTTCACCAGTTTTACTGATCATAAAAAGCTGGGGAAGAATGGCCACTGACTCCAAGTAGATAGAGAAGGTCCAGAATATCTACACCAACAAACGAGACAAAAACATCAGTAAAGAAGCTCTCCGCTAAACTCTAAAGAAACTTCAGAATGCACTAAAGTTAAAAACAGTGAAACTGCGGTATGTCCTAAAATTCACACTTGTCACACTTCTGTGACAAATTCCGGCTTAGAGCAGAAGTACACGTTAAGGCCATAAGGGTGCAGTTGTGTACCTTTGGACAGCTAATCACAGAAGTTCATGTCATTTTACTGTTCTTCTCTTATATTTCCAAAACAAGTCAGAAATTGACCAATGTGTTAAACTGTGGGATATTTGCTTAGTCTCATACCACTTCAGTGCAGTACTCGGGAAAGGGTGCATTTAGTGTTTTCTTAAACGCTGTGCTTTTGCACTTTCAAAAATAGGGACACACTTGGACACTTACTGGACACACGTGAATGCACAAATATGTAGAGAAAACCACAAACGTGGGCTCTGTCCAGGCACATCTTACCTCAAGAGGAGAGAAGTCGTGGTTGACGAGGAAAGCAAGGCCACCCACCGGGACGACTAGGAACTCCACTCTGAAAGTGTCATGGTTGCCATCATAGGTGGCTTTGAACTTAACATAGATCAGGTACACTGTGGCATATGCACATCCAATGTAGATAACCTGTACAAAATAAAGCAACACAGAATCATACAGACAATATAACATGAGACAAGCAATTTAAATCAGGTTTAGCAATTACATTGACACTTTTCTGTTATTATTATTATTATTAGTAGTAGTAGCAGTATTTTTAGTAGTAGTATTATTTCTCCAAGTATTTTGCTTGTAATGCTGCTATGACATACTGGAAGAAGAGATCAAAATATGTGTACACTTCAGTGCGAAAAAGTTCAGCAGTCCACGCCAACTCACCTTCATAATGGTGTTGTACAGAGAGATAAAGGAGGTGAGGAGGTCCAAGTAGCGAGTAGTGAAAACCAGGGCGAAGAGAATCTGGCTTTTGCCAGATATACCTAAAAGGCAGAAAAAGACGATCGGTAAGTTGAATGTTCACGACTCTGTGAATACTGCATGATGCAATGAATTAAACCCCTTGTCTCGTTTGTACAAACAGACTCAAACACGGCAACCTTTTCTAATACCTACTACATATATGTCAACAGTAACAATGTCAATAGTATAGCATTTACTCATCAAGCACGATCAACCACTCCCTAAAATACAAACCGAATTAGAACATTAAATCATAAAATAAGTGACAGGCTGTGTAAGTATATCTTCTTTTCAGTTTCTGAAAGATATTAATTAAAACCACATAAAAGCTTCATACATATTTGTTTTGACTCGTAGAGTCCAAAGGAGGCAGAACACAGATTCTCATATTTATCAAACATCAGTTACATCAGAGTTCTAGTCTGCTCAGTTGCAACGATGGGATTTGAGGAACAAAACACGTCTTTTACATTAATAAACAACCTTGAGTAAAAGTTTAAAACTAACTCTGGCTTCTTTTAATGATGACTACAGTACTCAGTAGTACATCCTGCCACGTCAGAGGTCACGTCCAACCTCCGGAGAGAGAAATGCAGAGAATGAATGAAGTTGAGCTCTGCATTAACATTACTGCATACAGTACGTAATACAAAACGGATTAATACGAGGATCTGAAAAAACATGCTAGTAAACAATAACATGATCTCCAACCACGGGCTTATGGTAACCAATGTGGCTGGAAGTTTCCCTGCAAGATGTGTTCTATATATTCAGCATTTGACGTTAACTCACAAAGAAACCAGAGCATAATAGAAAATAGAATAATAGAACATTTGCGTTGATAAAGTGGCCACTGGCTGGTGCTCTTATCTAAGTTATACTAATAACGTGAGGAAAAGTGATACTACGGATCTCGGCTGGGTCATGATTCAGGTTAACTTAGCTCATCTTAAAGGGTCTAAAGGAGGTGATGAAATGTCTGTTGCTCGCAGTAAAACTGCTCAAGGCAGTCTCAACTGATAAGAAAACACGACCAAAGTCTAAATATCGGAGCTAGCTGAACTGGGGGTCAGTTAGCGGAGTTAGCTGTGCGGAGTCGCGGCCTGGCCGAGTGCTGCGACAAACTCTGAGCCAGCTAACCTAGCTAAGTGGGTTTAGCTCTGTAGGTTAGCTAGGTTAGCCAGCTAGCTGAAAACCTCACAAATGCAAAGAAATGACACTCAAATATGAAACACACCCCAGAAACAGTCTGTGCAGAGCTATTTGTCTTTGCAGTCGGGTACAGGTAACTTTAAAAAGCGTAACCTTACCGGCACAAGACCTGCTTTTCCATATTTTGAGCAGCAGGATGATGATAGCCGCTAAATGAGAGAGATCCCCGGTGAGCCTGAATATGTTCATGTTTCTGTCGGCGCGGAAAGAGAGAGAGAAGGAGAGAGAGACGCCTTCAGCGGTAGAGTAACGTTAGAATGAGAAACAGTTAAATGGCGGACAGGTCGGACCGAACTTCAGCAGCGAGTGGGTCCCCAAAAGTGAGATAAGGACACCGAATCTACGGCGTCTGCCCCACTCCCAACTGAAAGATGGCGAGGAGAGCGACGTGGCCCGGGGACGTGTCCAGCGTGTTGAGCGGCCAATGAAGCGGGGCGAGGCGGGCTAGAGCCCGGGGAGCGCAACCACCCCCGGAAAGGGCGGGACATGCCGCGAGCTCCGACTCCTGTTTTAACATTTGTTAAGGAAATTAGTGACGAGCATTACGACTCGATTTAGGGAGTCGATTCCCCTCAACTAGCCGTTTAAATGAATCGAACTATGTGAGTTTGATTCAGCACACAAGAGTGGGCGTTTAGACCTACCGTAACCCACTCTGCACGAAAACACACACACACACACACACACACATATACATTATCTAAGCCGCTTATCCTTCTGAGTTGCGCGGGGATCATTCGCCTGGATCATTTAAAAGAGTCGTTCAAAAGAGCGATTCGTTCACGAAAGGAAATGGTTATAAATAGTAAAACACAAGAAAAAGTTACCACACAGGTGGATCTCGTTATATCTGCGTAATCTAGGACCTCAAATAAATGTCAGACAGTCATTAATGTTCCATATTAAATATTATCATTTAACATTTAAAAGCTGGTAAATTTAGCTTTTATTTAAATGTATATAAATTATAGCACATTTTATATGTGTTTTATTTTTTCAATGTGTTAAACTAAGCAAATAAACAGAAATTAGCCAAAAAAAAGAAAAAAAAACAGCATATTGAAGTGTGTTCTCTGTAGAAGACGTGTTATCTTTTTTCCAAAAATCAGCAAAACATGTTATTTGACCAAGAGTTCAAACTTTTGCATATGCTTGTATTTGTTTACTTAATTCAGGATGGTAATATAAGGAAAGAGGAGACAAAGTTCAGCTAAAGAGTGATGTGAGATATTATATTATAATGTTATACAGTGTAATTGATAGGAGACAAATATACACACAGACAAGAAGCAACAGAAAACAAAAGAAGTAATCCCATTATTAGGGTTTGACATCAGGGACTCCAGATGTGCTATTTTGGTGAATTATGTGTGTGAATTTGTGATTTTTGCACAAAAACACAATTATCCATCTTGCTGAAATTCACTGTAGTCAGGCATTGACTAGATAAGCTACAGAAGTAAATCTTATGGGTTCATTTCCCAGACACAGATTAAGCCTAAACCTAGACCAAACAGGTCTTTCAACAGTGAAACAGCATGGACGCCGCAGGTTAGTCCAAGACTAGGTTTAATCCTTATCCATGAAACTAGCCCCAAGTCTCATAACTCATGATAAACTTTCACACAAATATTGCAGACATGCATATTACAGAGACATACATATCATCATTATTCTAATCACATTTGCAAATGACTGTCAGTATAAAAATACAAACCCTGTATAATTGACAAAAATCAGAACTCACAAATGTCAAAATTAAAGCAGCAAAAATATTTGGCCCTACTTCCGTTTGCTATAAAAAATGAAAGTGTAATATTTCTGTCGTTCAGAAACCGAACAAAATAAAAGACCCCCACAGGACTTAAATGCAGGTCTCCAACGACCACATGGTTTGTCAAGTTACTGGAGTTAGAAGTTGCTTCACCGTAGTGAACAATGTTCAAACAGGGAGTTCTGAATGGATCAGCTTTTAATGCTAAATATGGCTATGGCCAAAATCAAAGGCTATGTTGGCAGTACTAAAAAATGTGCAGCATTTATTCAAATGAGGCTTGGACATTGCTTACAATGTTTCTCAGAAAATTAGGCAAGTGGATGCACAGTAGGCACAGCGGGTGAAATGAGCTTTCTGTCGGAATGCAGGCCTTCTCCCAAGCAATATACTGTTTTTATATGATGATGAATAAAAACCAGTTATCTATACTGAACAACTGGATTACATTTTATGTCTAGATGCATAAACAGTTTATTCTCAACATCCACAATAAACTAACTCCATGTCAAACAGACCACATAATAGCAATAACTCTCAAATATCTCACTCAGGAAGTAAGTACAGCTGGTGAGTACAGTACAGTAGAGTAATATGAAGGAAAAAGCCTTTGGTGCAAGATATTTGTTCTTTTGAAAAGAAAAATGTAAAGATAAGCCCCACTTTAGCATACTTCCCCAAAATATGACTTTAGATTTTAAAGTTGTTAAAGCTGTTCCCTGGAGTTTCACGAGCAAGCTAGCATTAGTGGTTAGTGCTAGCCAGAGCGAGTTTGGCTAGATTTTCTGAGTCATCTTAAAGGAGTCTGTATGTAAGCTTCGCAGCTACACACAGTTACATCCACACCTAATCAGTTGTATTTGGTACATTAATCTTCTGCACCATTAAATTAGTTGCTCTTATCATATAATTGAATGTTATTGCTTTGCTTATCATTAATACAGTTGCTCTAATAATAATAATAATAATAATAATAATAATAATAATTTGTTGTTAAATCAACTTACATATAATTAAGAATGGTTCAACCAATAATAAAAATTGACATTTTTTGTATTTTACAAAGTAGATGTTTGCATTTTACTGTGATCTATATTTTGTTATAGCTTATTATAATGATAGGGATTCATTAAGACCTAAATTGATCAAAGCCAGTCATTGTAATTTAAAATAGTATATTTAGTGTGTTGTATTTTAGGATATAAATAATATGTTTAATTTTTAAAAAATGCAAAGATTAGAAGTTATTCGACATATAAATGATACATTCTGTAAAAAAAGATGACAACTGATGCAAGATTTCCATTGGGGGGCTTCTTTCTCAGGTTAGGATGCCCCTTTATTAGATTTTTATTTTTGTGCTACAAAAACAAAATTTGCTGCTGTTGCAGTTTATTTCCACTAACTGCCTGTGCATCATTACCATATGCTTTACAGTACTTTACAGTACACATTTTTTCTTAACAGGGGCTTTGTCCCCCCGTCTTAGCCTACAGGATTTGTCCTCTAGCAGCACCAAATAAAATGTAGTTTGTACAGATGTGTTCACAGCCTTCACATTCATTAGAGGAGGCATGTGCTAGCCAAGAAACTGCTATAGGAAAAAGTTTACATTTTTTAGGCCTATCTTTAATATCCCACCGCAATAAAGAAATATATTTATTTAAATCCAGTATATTGGAGCAAAATGTGATAGTAATGTAATCAGAAATGTAATCACTACTATAATTGTCCTGAGATGTAGTACATAATACAGTCACTAACATCGGTTTTAAATTGAGCCCTTTAAGATATTTCACGTTAAACCCTTAACCCACGCCCCCTCCCAAAAATAATGCAATTCCCAGAAACTAACATATTACTGCACGTGCATGCAAATTCAAGTTGTTCATAACAGAAAGACAAATACATTCTCATTCCTGAGGCCTGAGTACGAATACTGCATCATCTAACACATAGTAATCTTGGTTCATATCACCCTCACACAAGTATGGCAAACGTGTGACAGCCTCCACCTCAAATCCGATCTTCTGGAAAACGTCATCAGACAGGTTTGTAACTTGCTCCTCCCAAGTCTTGCCTTTCACTTGGAGCTGCTCTTTTGGCTGCACCCATTTACCACCTAGGAGCAAAACTGCTATTATGAACTAGCTTTACAGGTTACTGGCATATATTTAAATAAAAACAGAGAAAAAAGGTGCACACAGCGTGATGTAAGAAATATAAGGCCTGGTTGTTACTGCATGTAACATCATACCTGTTTCCACATAAGGCTGGAAAGGTAGTACAACTGCTAGGATGAGCCTCCCTGAGCCTGGTACCAAAGCTTCCTTAATGTCCTGAAGTAGTTTCAGCGGTTCATCACACCTGTCCAACAGGTTCAGACAGCTAATAAGGTCATACTGGAACCCTGTCCTTTGCCACTCATCAATCTCCAACAACCTGACAAAAAGAAAACAGTTCACAGTTAAAACTTAATAACAAGAGCCATTCATGCAGCATCCAAGATCTCATGCAAAGTGGTGTCATTTGCATTTTCTCAGAAGAAGGCCTACAGAGGCCGTCAGGCAGCAATCATTTTGTTTTTTCTTCTTAAAAGGGGCATTTTGATCTCAAACTAGCATTTAATATGTTATATGTAGTGTTATGCACTTTAGTCTAGAGCAGGATTATCTCCCTTAGCCTCACTGGTTTGACAGAATTCAAGATTTTATATTGTTTTCACGTTTTCCTTCATCAATGTCCTTTAACTACAATACCCAGCATGCAGTACGTAAATACATCTAATGAGAACCCCTGGAGTCCACCAATCCTGACTGCTAGCCTAGCCACTGAGATATTGGGCTAATAAATAATAGCCAGGATAGCATCAGTGTAATTTCTCTTGTTCGACTGATCTACTCTTTTCATTGTAATAATGACTTGAAGACAGTTAGAACAGCTATAGTTATAAGACTTATAAAAAGACTTTACACCGAAAAATCTCAGACTACTGAGGCACAGATGTACGGTGCATATTGCTGCTGTCAGAACAAAACCTCTTATCTCCAAAAAGGTAACGTAATGGGACAAAGAAAAACGCTCTTAACTTTTAATAGAAGAAAAAGGAGAAATATATTTTTCCAAGTAATTTGGACAATTTCTGTTGGTCTGTTCATCATGAAATCTTGATACAACATAAATTGCAACCACCTTTTTCAAACTAGGACAAAAAATGAAAAATGACAAAAACAAAGACACAAGGTTTTGTCCCGACAGCAGCGATATGGCCATGTGTCCAACAGATGTAGTGATGTTTACATTATTCCTTTTGGCCAGAGAGTTCCTTTAAGCTTTAAATACACTGCACAACTTTTAATAATCTGTTGGGAGTTTAGAAGACTGGGTATCTTACACTTTTCTACTGACTGCTGTAATTATTTTTAGTGACTGGGGAAAATTGGGAACCACACTGAACTGAACACACCAAACTCAGATAAAAATACATGCTCACTGGTTACTATGAGAAACAGAGAGCAAAGTCAACTGTTACTGTTCATATCACTGTTTAAGCTGACACATGCATTTGGGTGACGTATTTGGTTTGATTACTAACAAGATCTATTCAGATTTGAGTCATTTTGAGTCGCATGCACTACTAGATTACAACCAGATTCCAATCGAAAAGATCAAACAGGTCAGATATGTGCTGTCTACTCCTAATAGTACCTGTGTTATGCATTGAGCTTTAAAACTGAACAATAGGACAGTTATAGGACAGTCAGCATGGTATGCTTCTTTAAACTGCCACGGTCATGAAAAAATATATTCTCCTCATTTTCTCAAACTAAGGGTTAAAGTGTTCTGCAGCCCATGGAAACTAAGCTACAGAAATGAATTTTGAATTAATTGCTTCTGTGACGTAACAAAAACCAAGGCATCTACATAAATCTGGCTGTTCAGCCTACAGCAGTTTAGCCTCACCTATTCACAATAAAGCTGTCATAAGGAATGTTTTAGACAGAACCGCTTTTGAACGCAGCACAATACAGGGTAGCTAATTGGAACAAACATTATTTACATACGTCTATCTTAAAGGCACACTGAAAAAACAAACAGTTTAATTCTGAGGGACAAGGAGAGGTAGGAAAATTATCATGTCAAATTGAATTATGAATGTTTTTGATACAAAAAAAATAAACGTCATAGGTGGACATCAGGCAAAATAAAAGTAAGAAAAATTTTGTACAATCTGGGCCCTTTAACATGGTTCACGATGAAGTATGGTGTTTGTTACAGATGACCCATCAAATTGTGTTTTAATTGTCCTCACGCCTTGATCATGTCATATTTACATTGGCAAACCTACGATATCAGGGAATAAACTAACTGCACCTGTAGTTCTTTCTCTGGAGCTGCCACTTCATTGGAGGAGACACTTCAGTGGCATAAACCTCTCTGAAATGAGAGCCCATGACATCTGTGACACCTCCATCCCCAGCGCCGAGGTCCAGAAGTCTTTCTCCTTTCCAGTCAGGATCAATTTGGAGGAGGAGCTGAAATTGATCCCTTGAGAAGACGAACATGGAACCACGGCCCAGAAACCTATTGACCAAAGATACACAGAGAGATAAGAATTACTTTTTTTCACTGCTGTAGCAGCGGTGAGTCTCCAGCATATCTGTGATTAAATGATTGGCATCACTGTGTGAAAAAACTACAATGCGCAATAAGAAACATCTGAAAATAAGGAAAATGTTGCGAAGAAGTACCCATTGATAGATGTTCTTGAGACGATGGGGCTGAAGATGGTAGAGAACAGTGAGTGGTACAGCTGGGTGAAAAGCCAGCCAGATTTCTCCACACTCCTCTGAAGAAAAGCTTGCGTATCTGTGTCTAACTGACTCTGCACGAACAGCGGCCGAACTGTCTCTCCAAGCATGTCAGGACAGCAACGGTACCACTGAAACATAGAAGATCCACCATTCACATCTCATCTTAAGGGTGGGCAATCGTCGTTATTGTGATCAATTATGTTACCATGCAACACCATATTGTCAGTACTTAAAGGGGAATTCCACCAATGTTTCAAAATTTCATCAAAATTAAATGGTTAAATGAACACCAAACAGTCATTTCCATCACAACCACTGTAAAGCTACCCAAGTCTTTCATAAGTTAGAATGGACAAAAACAACTGTATATATGTATGTATGTGTGTGTGTGTGTGTATATATATATATATATATATATATATATATATATACACACACACATACATATATACACACACACATTTTCAGTGCACAGAATGTTGCCTAGAACAGGACATATAATACACTCCGGTGTTGCCACAAACACCCAGAAGAAAAATCAAGGGTTTAGGTTGTATGAAGTTACAAATTAAAAGAGGTTTACCTCTTGAACTTCATGTCCTGTGAACTCAGTGTTGGTCACCATCAAAGCAGCCCGAGCCAGCGGACTGCGGACATACTTTCCAGACCACATCCTTCGCGCTGCTAGCAGAGCCGATACATAGAAGACCACCCAAGCACCAAAAAGCAGCGTCCTCATCTGTAGGTAACACATAGCAAGAAGAATAAGTCAACGGCACGTACGGTAAAACGCCACTATTCTGTTCTCCCAAAACACCCGGACTCATCCACGGGAGACTCTCCAGGTGCTGGCAGAAATACCCTCGGACCCCCAAACAGAGCAAACAAACCTGCAGGTGTGGTGGAGCTTAGACGGCCACATCATGCCTGAGTAATCCGTAAAATAAATACTGCAATGATAAAGACTGTGTAAGCGTAGCGTTAGCTGAAGTTCCTCATTCGTCTACCGGAGAAATGCTGGTGAAGACGAACTGCTTCCTGGGTTAGCTGAGAGCACGGTCATCACAGCCATCGTGTGATCCGCTCGGCCACCACCAGATGGAGCTCTACATCTCCTCATGGCTTTGACACCTCAGTGTGGGACTTGTAGTCCAGAGCAGGGCAAAAATATTAGATCACGATACTTCAAGACTTTTCACCCCTGCTGAAAAAGGACCATTAGAAACTATTAGTATTAATACTTAATGGTTTTGCTTCCTAATTGAAATTGGCTTAATAATTTCCAACAGATACCATTGTGTTTCCTGTGAAACACCTATAGATCCCATTAGGAAACCATCAAATGCGTTTAGACTCAGCCATTGGTCACCTGTTAAACATTTAGGATCCTTTACATTGGGATATCCATTAAAAAAGCCAAAACACATTACAAAACCATCAGAAACCAAGAGAAACACAATATGCGTCATGGAATTTCTGAGATTTGAGTTGGAACAGACAAAATAGAACATGTAGTGCTACATTTAATAAAAATAATAACAATAATAATAATAATAATAATAATAATAATAATAATCCTGCTAAAAATAAAACAGCACACACCAGCAAGCATTTCATGCTGGTCTAAGATGGGCTATGCTGGTCACTGCTGGTTTATTTTACGCTGGTCTTGTGCTGCTCTGGTTCCGGTTTAACTGCTCACCCCAGCATGGTCATGCTGGTTGATCAGCATACCAGCATCCAAAACACAACATATGCTGGTTTCGCTAGTGACCAGTTATGCTGGTCTATGCTGTTTTTTTTAGCAGGGAATAAGAAGAAGAAGAAGAAGAAGAAGAAGAAGAAGAAGAAAAAGAAGAACGAGAAGAAGAAACCTACAACCACAATGATTTTTATTCAATGTCTCACAAACTGCACTAAATCAAAGTCTTTATAGGAAAGTCTATTCACTTGGCGGCCATCTTTGCCACGCCACCAAGCAGTTATTTCCAACCATCTTTGTAATGAAACATATGTTTAGTCTGTGTTCTTTGACTACTGACAGTATCCATCATGTGCTCAGGAAAGTGGAATGAGACACAATTTATCATTATAACAATAAAATTTTGTCATTTTGTCAAATATTGTCATTGATCTCAACAGAAAGAGCAATTAAAGAGAACATTTATAACTTCGCTGTGCAAAAAAAAATGTATCTCCATGTTTTCTACGTCATTTCAACACACCAGTTGCATGGACGAATAGAAATGCTTTAAAATCACTTGGAACAAAATCTTTTTACATTGACTTACATTGAAAGGTAAGAGGGTTTTTGCCTTCTCCTGTAAAATTACTATTTTGGAGATTCTTGTTTTCATTGGACAGCAATGATAAATTTATTCAGTAATACATTAGAGGGGTAAAACCTATAAGGATCAGTCTTATGAACTGGTGCAAAGTCAGAGCTGAAAGCACATTTTGGACTTTTACCTGACTTTGACTTTAGAATCTGTTAGCTTAATTACTTTAATTCTGTTTATTTTATTAAAACAAATGATTGAACATTCAATTTTGTCACTACCAAAACAATGATAACACTACTGAACCTTTACCAAATATTTTGGTAGTGACTGTTTGTTTAGTGACAGTTTTAGCCAATTTTAAGCAGAACTCAAAAACTCTAGCCAGTATGTGACTCACAACCACAGCTTCAAACAGCTTCACACACATAAAATCATAATATTTTTCTTTAAAATATAAAAATATGTCTTTCAGTAGTAACAGTTCTTAATATTACACAGTGATTCTCAGACTTCAGGACAACTGCTCACTGTGTGGCCATGAGGGACAGGGATGCAGCCTCACTTCCTGTGCTGAAATGCAGGGGTGTGGCCCTATTTACTTTATAGTGCACGTTTTTAGAGTTTTGGCATTTTGTAGTGATGTCCAAAAACAGAAGATGCAGAAGTGCAGAAGATCCAGTGCACACAATTCCACAATGCACTGCAGTAAGTAGTGTACAACCGGTATACCCTATAGTGGATGGAGGATAGCCATAATACAGTGTGTTGTTTGGTTTAAAGATTCATGTGCAACTTCTCTGTGGGGGATCACTAAGCCCATAATGTCAGCATTTCCACTGACCTCTCTTCAGACCTGATACAGATGTAAGTAAGCTCTTTTTATGTGTGCAGCCAAACTCAGTGGTTTTAGTGGACTAGGGGCACGTCATTTATAATGTTTATGCATCAGAACCTGCTGTAATAAGCAAACCCACATGACAGTGTCTGAAATCATTTACTACATCACAGCTTCTGTTCTCTATGATAGTGTTCTATATAGTGATCCAGATTTTCATGGGTAGGGTCAATTGATTAGCGAACCATTTCAGACATGGCACTTGTGTTTTGGTTGAGTTTGGTTGATTGATTTTTATTATAGGAGCACGGTTTGAACTTTGATTCGGTAGAATGATCCATACATCATTTTTAATTGTACTTCTTTGACTTTGTTCTGTAGAAAAACTTGAATCAGAGCGTGTTTACAATGTTTTCACTGGACATCAAGGGGTCTGGGTGAGGTGTGTAGAGTAGGGTCTGTGTACTTTCCACAGACTTGCATGTGGTGGAGGACAAATAGATAGATCAATACACTAATGAAAAAAGCATATTATATTTTAGTTTGGGTTAAAGTGAGTTGATGTAGCATCAATATATCTTAAGAGCCTGCATGCTGGGTTGTATTTTTTCAAAATTTCTGCATAATTCAATCATTGAGATGTAAACAGAGCCATTCAGAGTGGTTTGATGTGAAATGTGCATTTCTATAGAAGCTTACTGAGTCAGACTTTACAGTGGTGGATATTTTAATGCCTTTAAAAGCATTCACATCATATTTACACAATATGTTTACAAATACATCACATGATCCCTGAGGCATTGTTTTGTGATGAAGGAATTTTGCTTTAATTCTCATCTTAGTTTACTCTTTAAACTGCGGAAAGACACTGAATGCACTACGTTTTCGGACTTTTTAATCCTCTACTGTACACATTATGAAAGCAATGTTTAAAAGAAATTATTTATCTTTTTTGCATAAAATTGATATGATTATTAACATCAAAAATACTTTTTCAAAATAATGTATTTGGGGTCCTTTTTGGGTATGTTGCCTTGAGGCAACAACATGTGACAGCATAAATAAATGATACAGAGTGACACATGAAAAACAAGATTTTTAATCCAAATATTTGGAACAAAATGAAGTAACCATGCAACTTGTTGATCTTTAAATACGAAGAATGCCAAAAAAAAATAAAAAAAACAAAACAAAAAAAACAAAACAAAACAAAACAAAACAAAAAACAAAAACAAATATATTTCATTTTATATTAATAAAATCTATGTTACCATGATGTAACATTGTGAAATAATGTTTTGGACAACAGACAATCTATTATTTGGACAACAGCCATGCTGACAGCAGACACTGACAAATACTACAGTTAAAGTTAGATTTTTTACGTAAACATAAACACAATTAATTCTAAATAATAAAAAAAAAACCTAAAATTTATATTCAGTGTTCTCTCAAAAGGCTATTTAGAGAAACCCCTCCCTTCATTATTAACCCTTTTATTCTCATCAAAAATGTATCATGTAATTAGGCGCATTATAGATTTCAAGATTTTTTCACGATAGACGTTTGGCGTGAACTTTGCACAAGAACCAGCGCAATCATGATTAATATCACCTTTATTACACAAACACAAAAGCGTTTTCCGTTGCACGTCAGCTGTTTTTCTTTTCAGTAACTATAAAATGGATACACAGCATTCAGAAATGAAACGTTTCGACTTTAAAGCGAGAAAAGTGAGATTTGTTGCCTTGAGGCAACAGTGTGCAATAGAATGTTTACTTCATTAGACTCTTTTTCGGACTCTTTTTTGCTCACGTTTTTACACTTTTGCAGTTGTCCTGTGTGGCTCGAGGCGAGCTGTGATAAAAGCGGCGCGCTTTAAGCCGGAGTGTGCGTCACTCCGTTATCTGGAGTACAGAGAGCGCGCGCCACGTTGTCTTCCTCCTGAGAGACCGGTGCACCTGCAGTCCAGCGTCCTCTGGTTCGACCGCCTCAACAGCAACCGGAGATCGTTCGTAAGGATTCGTTTATTGTATCTGTCATTGTAACCTGAATGAAGTAGCTTCATGAATCTGCCCTGCTGTGCAGCGCATACTGAGCTTTTCTGTTTCTCACTGAAGATGCTTACAGACATGATAGCTGAGGAAGAGTTCGAGATTAAAGAGGAAGAACCGTGGTACGACCCCCAGGATCTGGAACACGGTAAGATAGCTTACATTTTTACAGTCACTGCAGTGTTTTCAGTGACACAGATTGAAAGCTGTGGCATTCAGAATGAGGACAACCTTAAATACAGCACACCACATCTGTTTGTGTACAGAAGTTCAATAATATGACTAAACCAGTGAGAAGGTGATGTTTATGTTTGGTCTCCATTCTTCAGCTGCGATTACCATTAATACACATTACTTTGTAAGAACTCCATGTGTAAAAGATTGAGAAAATCTGTGGCTTTCTTGACATGATTGTTCACTCAGATGACAGTTGATGTTGCACCACATCCTGTGACAAGTCAGCACTTTCACACCTCAAGAGAACTGAAGGAGACAAAGGTGTACTGATGTCAGCTGCTGGGATAAGTGGAGATTGAATCTTCACAATGATAAAGTGACTTTAGGATAAACTAAATCTACAGGTGACCTCAGTTTTGCTTTAAAATGAACATGCTGAACATGCACTCATATATAAGCACTGACCAAGGCTTGTTGCCCTACACACTGTGCTTACTATGAAGTTAACGCACCCCCTTTTAGCTGCTAAAAGATGCTGTTTTGTTGTATTAATGAATATCTGAAGAAGTGTTTATTAAGGTCCTAATGTTATTAACCCCACAGACAAATTATTCACTTATTGTCGCTGTGAATGAAAACAACTGTAACTCTATCTATTTTTTTTTCATGCCAATTTTTTGCACCCCTTAACGCCCCTTAAAGGGGAATTCCAACTCGTTTTCAAAACTTCGACAAAATGCAATTGTTCAGATGTAAACAAAGTCCTTCAGAGTGGTTTGACATGGAATGGTTCATTGTAGAGAAACAGTCTACACTTTCTTTACACTGGTGGTGATAGGAACCAGGAGTCACAGTGTCTACAATACAAATATAGCCATTTTATTTACCGTCCAAAATTACATGTGAATCTATGCAAGCCCTCTGAATTTTATATGGAATGTTGATAGTGATGAAACAGTGATAAATCTGGGAAATACATTTCTTTGAGTGCTATTGTTCACCTGCAAGTAGCCCTCTATCATAAGCAGACTTTAAATGTTTCTTAGAATAGAGCATTTTCCAAAAAAACACTCTTAATGAATTTGAAAAATCAGTGGAATTCCCTTTTAACTCTGTGTGAACATTATATGATGAATGGACTAATAGAAGAGGTCAAATATGATCATACATTATAATGTATGATAATATAACAATTATACAGTCCTGTTATGCTATCATACATTAAAGATTTTTTCTTCTCCTATAAAGTTACTATTTCAGGAATGCCAGGTTTGTTACAACAGCATGATGTACGAGCAGTTTGTGTAAGCTTTCATATTGTTTATGTGGGCGCTCCTTATCTGTGCACAGATCTTCATTTGGCTGCTGAGTTGGGCAAAACCCTCCTAGAGAGAAACCATGAACTGGAGCAAGCTCTCCAGCAGATGTATGTCGCCAACCAAGAGCAGCAACAGGAAATAGAGGTACTTATGTAGAGGTGGAGCAATAGGTCTTTTCAGGACCTTTGAGTGCAGCATTGCATCATAATAATTTTAATGTTCTACCATGTAGTTTGATCACATCACAGGGCAAGAGTCTGATGTCTAATGTGAGGAGGTGCTTGGATTAACAGATTGTCTCACAGTCCTTGGCATAAACTATTCCTGCCACCCAGCTATGCTTTTTCTATCTATATTATCTGTGGAACTCCTGTATTTCAGTGTGTTTGTGTTGATATTTTATGTATACATTACTTGTATTATAGTAAAGTATTGGCTCCGCAAAGGCATGAACACTGTAAAAAATATATGGCAAATGAAAACATCTTAAATCTAGTCAATATATGTAATATGTCTTACTGTTAGATTGTTATGAGGGTATTATGAGAGTTCAACTTATTTCTTTTTTTTTGTTTTCAGTGATTACAAAATTATATTGGCAGATAATTTTGCTTATTTCAAACATTCATGAAATGTCACTTAAAAACAATATTACTGGACAAAATTACTTGAAACAAGTCAAAACATCTAGAAACAAGCTGAAGGTTCCTATAATATTGTTATAAAGTCTCAAAATGACAAATGTTGGAGATATTGACAGGATCTGAGATGTTTTCACTTCCCAAGTGTAACGTTTTGCAGTGAAAAAAGCTTTTTTTTCTAGTATTATGAATGCTGCTTGAATCTATACCTAATACAAACATAATCACAACCATTAAAAGCTACCACAGAATGTAAAGTACATGTGAAAATACTTTGTTTGACTGCATTAGAAACATTAATCACAGCACATTTTCTTAAGAATGGACTAAAATGACACTAATAATTTCTTGCTCAACGTGGCTTTCAGTCTTGTGATTCGTGCACACTACAACTATCAAAGCTGAGGACTAAAAAGTTTGACAACATGCCATTTTGGGGACCTTTTAACAGCTCGCCCTGCCCTGACACACCTACAGCTGTACAAGTGGAATTTCCTTATCATGTTTTACAGTTTTATTTTTAACCTGTCACTCTGGTGGTTAATGAGGGGCGCAGTTTTCCAGAAGCCTCTTAGTGTTAAGACCATCTTAACCGGTAGAGAGAGTGTGATGCTCGCTCTACTGTTTAAGAATCATCTTTGTGCTAAGATGCTTTCAATAAACCCAACCCTGATTAGTTGGATCAGATGTGTTGAAGCAGGGAAAACACCAGAATATGCAATGCAGGGGTACTCCAGAACCAGGGCTGAGAACCAAAGATGATTCAATATTGATTAATAATTAACCTAATAATAAAATGTATGGTGCCATATCAGTGTTTATCTATTCCGGTGAGCTTCTTCATGATAAAAAAAAAAGAACAACCTGGTGTAGGGAAGTGCTTAATAAGAGTGACCTTTGTTTCCAAGATATGGAGACTGAGGTAGATGAACTAAGATGAAGTGAGATAGAAAATGTGTAGCTTTAAGACACTGTGTATGCTTTAGACTACAGCTAGTTTTACCACAGTACCAACAAGAGCAGCTTGATCTTTTATTTAGGGCCAAAGGTCACATTTCATTTGTAAACATGTATGCGGATGACATCACTTTCTGCATTCAGTGAGGCTGTAGTCAAGACCACCATAGTCCAAGACTATGACCAGATCGAGTCAATACCAAGTCTAAAAGGGGCCAAGACCAAGTCACGTCCAAGTCCAAATGAGAGTCAAGAGTCAAGACTGAGACTCGAGTCTTCTTCAAGCCTTAACTATACTTTAACTGGCCAAATTTCCGGGCCAAATATCTTGGTGTTTTCAAACTGTTGATTATTATTGCCATTTAAAAATGAGATGTACCCCTCAGATTCACTTGGAACAACAGAATTAATGCTTACAATTCCATAACATTACTTTCATTTTGCTATATTGTTTAATGAAATGATATAATTACACAATTACCTAGCAATGAAATGTATTACAGTTGGGTTCAATTTAGATTCTTTATTGACCGATTCAAGCACTTTTAACTCTATTCTGTTTGTTTTTGAAGTCACAAGCATGGCACAAACACAAAGGATGGACACACAATAAAATTTCATCAAATTCAATTAACATGTCCCCTTCTACCAACAAACACAAATGTGGCTAAAACAAACAGATGCAATGATCTGGTTTTGAGTTGCTATAGTTTAGGCCAGTACAAGTTGGTGACAGTTAAATAAAAGAAAACTTCAGCTGGTCTTGAGACAAGAATAAATTTAGTAAGACCAAGAGGAGTCTGAGTACAGATGTTAACGGTTCAAGACAATACAAAAACATCTGTGAGACTGGACCTAAAGCACTGCAGCACTGGTGTTTGGTACTGTTGCACTTTTTAAAGATACTGTATCCCTTCATGAGCTCGCTTTAAGGTAGGTAGGTTTCTAATCCCTTTTTTTCTTCTTCAGTATCTGTCTAAGCAGGTGGACTTGCTCAGGTCAGTGAATGATCAGCATGCTAAGGTCTATGAGCAGCTGGACACCACTGCACGAGACCTGGAGCAGAGCAATCAAAGATTGGTCCTGGACAACCGCTCAGCCCAGCTTAAGATTGAGGGGTAAAACAGGTCTCAGGATTTAGACATCATTAAGACAGCACTGCAATTTTTATGATTCCCCTCTAAACATAGCTATATAAATTGTAGACATATATAAATATGTGATTGCTCTCATATAAAAAATTTCACAGTGAATGATCTTCTATAAGTTACGAATGCTTTTTTCTCTTTCTATTTTGGAAACACAAGGTTTGGTTATGGCAGCGATGATATACTATATATAACAACTGATGTGAAATGTGAGAATCAATTTGATTTGAGATGAAGGTGCTGTCTCCTGTGCAGGCTCACAGAGACCATAAACGGGCTGCAGTGTCAGGTGGAGGACCTGCAGAGGGAGGTGAAGGAGCTGAAGACTGTTCCTTCTGAGCAGACCACACCAGACTTGCTGGAGCCACAGTGGCCAGCCAGTAGCCCAACTCCTCCCTGTTTGAAGGAGCAGTACCAATCCCACAAGTAAAAGTCTTATTATGTTGAAACAATTGACTGTGGAACAAACCAAAGTGTTCAGTCGTCTTTTGCAGCTATGTACACACAACAACATCAGGATTCTTTTTTACAAGAACATTATACAACTTCTCTTTACCCTTTAGAATTAAACAGTGAGAGTTTAGGACTGATTTATGTAAATAACCTCTGTTCTGATTGGCTGCCCTGTGTTATGCAGCAGTCCAGAGGGAAGCACTTCTTATAACTTTAAGGTGAAGCTAAACTACAAATCAATAATAAGCCCTTAGTGCTCTGAATTCTGTATTCTGTTCTGAATGTGTGCACACTCGCTGTGAAACTACCACAGTGCATCCAACAATAAGGGCAGCATTGTGCTTCCTTTATACAGTGATAGAAAACATAGTAATGAACAGAAAGCTCAGATTCCACATGCTGATACATTTTTCTACCCAACATGGACATGCATGTGTTCAAACTACTCTGGAGGCAGACTTTACTGACTGAAGAGTATCTCTCCTGATATGTTAGATAAATCTTACATGTTAATCTGTCACTGATTCTCACCATTGTACATTTCTTTCAGGTGCCCACCCTTCGAGCATTCTGTTTCGGCGAGCACTCCCTCTATAGAGCAGGAGGACTGGGAGGAGGAGCACTCAGCCCTTTTGCACTCTGTTGAGACACTGCAGGCCCAGCTGAAAGCAGAGCGTGCTCTGAGGGAGGCTGCGGAACAGGACACTGATGCTCTAGCACGAGAGATAAGCGAGTTGGAGCCACGTGTGACCCTGATCGAAGGCTATAAGGCACGGCTGGCCGAGCTGGAGGCAGAAGTTGAGGAACTCAGGCAACTGTGGCGCTCTGATTCAGCCTCGGGTGGTGCTGGCCACACCCACCGGCTGCTGCTGCCGGACACAGTGTTCTTCCCCTCTGAGGAAGACATGAGTGAGGCGTGGCAGAGGAGCCACATGCTAAAGCGCTGCAACAGTGAGAGGCAGCTGAGGGGGGTCAGCGGTGAGGACAGTGGCCTGAGGGACATGGGGCGTGTTAATGTCTGCAGGGGGCATTCGGAGACAGCGAAGTACCACCAGGGCATCTCCCTGCTGAATGAAGTGGATGCTGAGTACAGCGCCCTGCAGAGGAAATACAATGCTCTTCTGCGCCGCTGCGAAGATGGGCCCCAGCCACGGAGCCACAAAGCTGTGCAAACAGCTACAGTCACTCAGCACTTGACCCCATCGCCAGCCAAGCACCCCTGCTCCCAGGGGGTCGGTACACAGGATGATGTCCCACTACCTGAATACAAAGTCCTTTTCCATGAGATTTTTGCTTGTATCCAAAGGAGCAAAGAGAACCTAAGGGAGAACAGGGCCAAGTCCAGTTTAAACACAGCAATGCACTATGACGCCTGTACGCTACAAGCCTCTTAGATTTGTCCTCCACAAGGACTTGGCAAGTGTCCCAGTATGAGGTTCAGATTCAATCAAGCAGTCTCACGACTGGCTGAACCAGAAGGAATCTTAAAGGCATGTATGTGTGAAGCACACTGTAGCTTATTTCGTATCTTTTATTGTCTAGTCATTGCCACATTGTACAAAATTACACATTTCGACCTCCTGGAACTCTCTGGGGTGCCTATTTTAAATAGTTATATTTCATAAGGCATTACATGACAATATGATCATCTTAAAGCATCTGTTTTGGATTTTTGGTGCTTACCATTTATTTTGACTACACAGTTTACCTTTAGCAGCTACACACTTAAGTTTACATAAAAATGCTTACTCGTTTAAAATATGTGTATTGCTATCTGAGTTGATTAACTCTTGGTGAGGCCCTTGATAACAGTAGTAGGTACTGGTCATCATAAACCTAATGTAGAAAGCAACATCCAGATGCCACACAGATCATCTTCAAATGGTACAGCATGACACCTGCAGCCTGTTTCACAAAGCAGGATTTCTTGCTAACTTTAAGCTCAGTTAAGCATAAGATCTCACAACAGGGGATCACTTTATTTAATAGGCTATGTCACCATGGCAACTTGTGCTGCACATCTAACCTAAGTTCAGGATTTTGGATCATAAACAGCTCTTGATCAAACAGGGTGGGCTTCTGATCAGTCAGTAACAGCCTTCTGATGGAATATAAAACCCTTTGGCCCTTTTTTTTTATCTTTATGACATCTGTGGAGCCAAACAAGGGAACTATACAAATAATACTAAATAGAGATCAAGAATGTAAATCAGTTACTTCAGTAAGTAACAACACAATGGCAGTGGCAACAACTAGTGTTGTAGTAATTAAGTCCAGTCTTGGGCTTGTCTCTCTCTCAGGGTAAGACACAGACATTGTTCTCAAGATCAGCCAAGCAAGCGGTACCTGGAAACTGAACGTTTTTCTATCAACAAAACATTCAAACAAAATAAAACAGTGCTTTGTCGACATGTTTAAATAAAATCTGTTTGTGACCGGTTGGGGATCTAATTGATGCTTAATTGATGGCTTAACTAGGTTTAACTAGGCTTAACTTGTTTGGTGATTTTTATTGGTTCTAAAATTCAAACATCCCCTGAGAGCATGGATGTATGTTGTTTGGTTTATATTCAGTTGACTTTAGGTGGTGATTCTGAAGACGTTTTAGAGAAGAAGGGACAGTGAATAAACACCACCATTTGCTTGACTATAATATAATAATGACAATAATAATATACATAATTAATAATATATTTAGGCTATATTTTATTTAATATTTTACAAAATATGAAATCTAATTATTTGTTGATATCGTGTATAATGAATGAACAGTGATCCACAAATAAATTAAATTTTTCCCTATCGTTTTATTTGTATATTCAAAAAAAAAAATGTTGAATCTGGTCTCAGTCTTGACTCAGACACACCTACTACAAAGACTTGGTCTTGACTCAGTGCGTCCAGGTCTCTGTCTTGTCTAAAACGCAGTGCAACAACTGCTCTGTCTTCTGCTGTAGATGTTTGCTACTGTGGTTACCTGTTAAAATGCACATGTATCTCAAAGGGGTAAACCTGTTTACATTTGGTGCTTAATTTCTGTGTGTTATAGTCAATATATATGTAAATTTGATGATACATTCTAGCACTCAAAAGCTTGAAATAAATGTTTTCAAAATTGAATTTTGTTTCAAACACTATTATAAAAAACACTTAACCTAGCCTTTATGCCACTTCCTAGACTTCAGATGGGGCAAGTAAATAAAAAAGTATAGATCATTCCAAAATGACTAAGGAAGCTGTACTGCACTGAAGATATACAAAAAAAGAGGTATTCTACTTTTTTGAAACTTTCTGCATAATTATTATAATAATTAGTTAAATAATGAATTGAGTATCAATTAATTATTCATAATACTATATAATGCTTTAAATGCTATTTGGCATACGGTATATTTTCTTTAAAATTCCACTGTTTACATTAGTATTAAAAAAAATCAGTAAGACGAGTGATTTTAAATTTCTTTTTAATAGTAGTGTCAACAAACTAAGTCAAGAAACGAGACACCAATAGCAGTACTTTGGTTGCAGTGTTTATTGAGCATAATGATGTCCAACTGAAACAGGTGACTTTCACGTTTAGGTCAAAACCCCTTTTTGACTGTGTCCGTGTAGACAAACAAGGTAAATTTCTGAATATATGGAATGCTTCAAACTGCTGAACAGGATCTAAGAGCCAACATGTCTTGAACATAACAAGCAGTCTTCTGTTAGGAAGGAAGAGGCTAAATGTGAAATCAAAGTTGTTCCAGTCATAACAAAGCGAATTTAATAATGGTAATATTTCCCCTGAATAATTTAGAGGCACTTTCTCTTGACCTAAAAAGCATTTCAGTCACTCAGTATATTTTTTCACCAATAAACAATCCCACACTTGCCTGTTCAAAGCAATTATTCTCCAGCACCTCTGATTGCCAGGACAGCCTCAGTTCCACCTCATACAACAACGACCGCAAAAACTAGTAAATCGCAAAAACTAAACGGGCTAAAAATGTGACTGACCGTCAGAGGGCCTTTCATTTAGAACAGAACATACGCTTTGCAAAATAAACAGCGGTACAGTCCATCATGGCAATTCAAAAACTGATTTTACCCCACACTGTCAGAATACAGTAATGGTGTGAAACTGAAATGCATATAGCTGTCCTGACATTTGCTTAGTTGAGAAAGAGTTAATCAAATGTGCATCCCAAGTCACTTTAAAATTCCACTAGATAAACCAGTGGCTAACTCTCATTTATTTAGGGACTATAGTCTCAAAGGCCACGTAAGAATGGTGCATTTTTCAGATTTCTTTGTTTGCCTATGCTTTCAATCAACATTCTCTGCAGTAAACCAACACAATATTCCATAATGGCACCATAGCAGTTAGTTAGTACTGCTTTCTTTTTCTCCTCCTCCTATCCCGCCATCCCCCACAACTCATGTCCAGTCCACTACATACTAGGGCCATTCCACAGCAAGTCAGAGCTTTGGTTCAACCTTTGAAGATGGATGTAAACACTACAAAGGAAAGACAGGGCACAGTAAGTGTTAATTTGACTATTAAAGTCAAACAACAACATTTGACACGCCTCCCCCCAAAAAAAACAAAACAAAAAAAAAAACAAAAACAAAAAACAAATGTCAATTAATTATAAAACCAGCAGTGGGGCCCACAAACCCATCATCTCGCTGTCAATTTAAGTCCTAGGAAAGGCCAAAACTAATAACATGAACCTCTCTCAAAGGCCACAAACAAGATAAAATTTGCTCATCTTTATTAGTAATGCCTAATAGAAACCATGAGAAAACAAAAATTCTATATTATCTTTCTGCACATACATCTTTCTCATTCTATGATTTCACTAAATTCTTCTATATGATCAAGTGGATATCCAGCCCTTTTTATGAATTGTGAGGTGTTCTGCAAGCTTCCACAAGCTCTGATTTTGGCTATGCGGTATCCAGAAAGGTAAACAAAAACAAATGTCCTGGAGCAGCAGGTGGACCTCTGTCCTCCAAACTTGGTCTTTGCCGGCTGAGGGCAGTGATTGATTTGTGTGTCTGCTCCATCTCCCCATGCAGAGTTTACTCTCACTAAACTCGGAGGGAGATTTTCTTTTTTTTTTGGATTGACAGGATGCCTAGGACTCCTCCTCCTGCTGTCAGGACTGCACTGTGCCTTTCAGGTACCACATTCCCCCTAAGCTGATGCAGCACTCCTAGAACAGAGAGTAAAGAAACCACCTCTTAGGCAAGAACAAACACTAATATGGCTTCAGAGGCATGCTCAGTAGGACCTGAAATATCTGTCCGAAACCCAACAGGAGCCGTACTGCTCAGGTTGGATTTGGTCGGATTCAAATGTTATTTTCCAAAGGTGTTGGGCTCGGGTTCAAATTTCACATTCGGCTTCTCACAGCCTGCCTCACACTTAAATTTTACCCTACTGTTACTGTGTTAGTTTTTTCTACTTATGTTATTCCTTTTTACTATCATTACCTTAAAGCAGTAGCTCCAGCGCCTTAAGGCCCACATTTGAGAAATTCAGAAAATGGATGTGTGAGAAATAAACAGTGAACCAATTTAGGAAAGCACAGAGTGGTGCAGCTAAACACTGTTCTTTCATGCTTTATTCAGCACTGAGTGATGATGGGCCAGTTTGGGTCAGTTTCTGAAAGAATTCTGTGGGACTCTGTTCAGTTTCGGATTCTTGATGTGGTTCAAGTAGGGTTCGGAATGAACTGAATTTTGTCAGGCTTAGACTCAAAATGTGACGCTGTGTGCTGGGTTAGACTTGTAGAGAAAATTATCGGGCTGTAACTGGGTTTGGATCAAATTGTAAGGCCCAATTAAAGCTCTAAAGTGCAAGTATGAAATTCACTTTTTGAATGCCATATCTAGTGTGCAACTGATACCTTGAGTAGCCTGTCTACATCAGATTTGGTGACAGCATCACCAAGCTCCTGCGTGAGTCGGGTCTGGATAACATTCCTTCTTACTCGGTAGTTCTTCATGAAGATTTCAAACAGAATCTGCCGATGCTAAAAGGGGAAGAAATTTCAGATCGGTAAGAAACATTTTAGCATAGTTAGATCAGCAATAACATCACAATCTATCATGCGAGCCAAGGAAAGAATCATGTTCTAACAATGGCCAGAAGAAACAAATCCAAACTCTAGAATACTTTGGAAAAAAAGAAACATTTCCCAAGCATCAGATATAATGCAGGACATTACCTTGTCAAAGGTTTCACCACTCTCCCACAAGCCAAAGACTTTCTGTTCGTCTGCGCTAGCATTGCTCTGAGGGGGAAACTGCACAAACGAGACAAAAAGTCATTATTCACAACAAACAATGCACACACAAACACCAAGTCAGAAGTTTCAGGGTTTCCTTCTGTGATTTTATATAAATAAAAAGAAAGAAAAAAAAATATATATGTACCACTACTGATAGCTGAACTGGTATCACACTGATACCAGCACTGAAGAGCACACCTCATGTACCTCAGTATGTCATACAGTTATGGAGAGAAAAAAGAAAAAAAAAGAAAAGAAAAAAAAGAAAAACACAAACACACACACACACACACACACACACACACACACACACACACACACACACACAAATTGCTTAAGTTAAACCAAAGTAAATCATTACATCAACCTAACTTTTATCACTTCATGTGACACTATCGTGTTACTTGTTTGGCTCCTGGTGAGTCTTTTCAAGTTGCAGAAACTAATAACAACAAACCATATAACTAGTGGGAATTCCCGTGAATAAAAATCTCCACATATGCTTCCGAACAACGTGCAGCTTGTCACATTTGCATCACGTCATGCAATGTGCCTAGTATTATGCTATCACACAAAGCAATCTAAGCTAGGCAGCTATATAAAAGGCAGTGCTTTCCAACAGAGAGAAAGAGCTGAGGAAGGCAGCCAAGGGGAGTGCAACTTTGCAGAGCTGGATTCAAACAACCAGCAGGCCAGCAGCTGAAGCGTTAGGATAGAAATGTCAAGGAAACATTTCTTATATTTTCCTAATTTAATATAAAGTAGATCTACTTCCTAAAAAGAGTTTTTTTTTTACGTTGGAAGTAGGTCAATAACTCAAAGATAAATACACAGTATATTATATCTGTGCATAGTACTGAGAATGAGTTGCAATGTTAAAGAGAGTGCTTTTCTGTAGTAAATTGCTAGAGCTAGAGCTAGATGCTTGTTTACCACAATACAAAGCTAGTTATAGCAACCTGACAAGGGGAGCAAAGGGCTGCACAAACATCAGTGGGCTTTATTCACCAATAACTTCCTGTTTATTTTCTTAAATTTGTTCTCGAGAAAGATCCTAAGAAAAAGTCTACATCAGATTCATGACGAGCTCTTAAACTGCAGAACTGTTCACACCTTTGTGCTCTTGAGTGTGTGTAGGTTCTGTTCTTACCTAAGAACAAATCCTTAATAAGAAAACTTTGGTGAACGTCAGAATCTTCGTGAAAACTGCATAAGTTGGTTTTAATAAGAAATTTCTTTCTAAGAACGATTGGCGAATGAGGCCCACTGTTAGCGTCATGGCGACCGGTGTTCTGATGAATTGCGCAACTTTGTCAAAATGTTCTACCACAGCCAAAGCCGAAAGCTTTAAACTTCTTACTCGAATTTTCCTGTTCAAACAAGAAGCTGGCGAATAAGAAGCTGAATTCAGCTACAGTAGCGCATATTTATAGTTAGCTCCCTACATAAAACTCCAGGTAGGATTTCAGACAGAGGCTCACAGGACTGTTGAAGGACCAGCTCTATGTGTAATTGGGATAATCACATTAACATATCAAGTTTACAGACACCTGAAGTTCCCTTTCAGTAATTTCAGGACTGTTGAAGGACCTGGACGGCCAATGATGGATATTCTTATTAAGGAGGTACAGGGCCACTGTGGGTCAGTGCAGAGTTTCCCAACCCCAGTCCTGGAGGAACTTCACAATAAGACGACTTTGGAAAACCGGGCCGCCTAGCTCTATATGTAATGGATGTGTTACAGCAGGAAAAGCACTAAAATGTGCAGGGTAGTGCTTCTCCAATGGTCCTGCAAGGCTGCGGTCACACCGTCACCAACAGAGGTGCTTGTGCAGCCACAAGCTCTCTTAGCAGGTCAAAAATCACTTCCACACCAAACAGTATCTTATTAACAACCCGTGACTATTTGTAAAGGGTGTATTAAAGCAGGGAAAGCACTGAAACATGCAGGGACGTGTTAATCCATGACCACTGTTCCTCCGACAGTTCTACGAGCCTCTGTCCAAAGCCAGTCACCATGTCACTAACACTGGTGCTTACGCAGCCACAAGCTCTCCTAGTTGGTCAGGAATCCGAATTTCACACAGAAATCACTTTGGACAGATATATCCTTGCCCTGGTTGGTGAGTGTTAAAATGTCATTAGCAGGAGTTGCTGTTGCTGGCCCCATATTGTACAAAACAAGCATCGAGCCCTGCCAGTACCGCCAATGCCCGCACTAAAATTTTTTTTTAAAAATTCTGAAGTCATACTAACAGCATTTTGTTGACAGCAGTGCAACTGAGTTTTCATTTTGACAGAGCTGAAGTGCAACAATCAGCACAATGGGCGACTTTTTTTGTCAGACCGTTAGGACAACGAAAATGAATTGTCAAAATAATTTGCTTTCCACATCAAATTTTCCAGTCATTATACACAGAAATGCAAATGCAAGTACACATTTTTAACTGGATTTGAATTGGGTTTTTAGCAATGCACACTCACATTGGAAATGCAATTGTAATACACAATAGCAATAAGCATTTTCAAATTTGCATTTGAATGTGAATGGAGTCCAGAATATGTACAATGATATCTCTCTGATGAGATCCAATGTATCAGCACTCAACAGAGATGCATTGAAAAAAACATACTGGATTACAGCATCAGCCCACAGTTTCAGTATTTTAGTGCAATCCTATTCAAAAACCTGCTCAAAAGTGAACACTCATGGCTTATGGCACTAAATTAAAGCACCTTTAAGACAGAACAAAAAAACAAAAAAAAACAAACAAACAAGGAATTTCCTCATGAAGGCTCACACCAAGAAGTCACTGATAGACTATATTTTTACCACAGTAATGTTATGACAGTCTTTTTCAATTCTAAGACAAGTGCCATGGATATTTACTTTTCTGCAGTGTTGAAAAATATTTTGCATCTCTGAATCAGTTGTGGAAGAAAAGATCACACTGGTCCCCCCCGAAGCGCACTTAAACAAACAATGCGTATTATTACACTAAGGTCAACATTGTACTGAGGTAGCGTTCGGTGTCTCAGTTTAACAGTAAAAAGTACAAAACAAGCTCTATAATTGCTATACATGGAAGTGAGTTCTGTATGTTAACAGGACACCTGTATGTAAGCAAATAAAAAAATTCCAATGACGACTGTCCGACCACTTGAAGAAAGCCCGAGTAGGAAGATCCCTCAAGGATTTTAGTAAAGCGCAGAAACAAACACACTTCCAGTCAGCTTGCATTCAAAAGACACTGCCCCACTCCCTGGCATTAGGCTCTGCTTAACAGTAATGGGCTTTGTCTCCATTAATAGCAATTACATAACACCAGTCAACCTACCCTACCGTGTACACCCTAAATCCAGAATAAAGGATTACGCCTTAAACCCAAACAAAACTGGATTACGCTGAATAGGAACTTGGCCAAGCCCTAACAGATCCAAGTTGACCTGCTGTTTAGGTTTACAAAGTTCCACATTCCTTTATTCACACATAAGGGTTGGGAAAGTGGATAAATAATGATGTTATGCTGTTGTACAAAAAAAATTTGCCATACATAATTTACGTAGTTTTGCACATGTAAAAACACCAGAGCAAACGGCAATCATAGTAGTGTGCAATAGTAATGTGTCTAAAGAGAGCAAGAAATCCCCTTTTCTTGGGATAATCATATTAACATATCAAGTTTACAGACCCCTCAAGTTCCCTTTCAGTAATTACATTTGTCTACTGGGACCACTTGAATGAGTAGGATGATCCATATGATGAGTAAAATAAATCTTAAAATCAATCATTCTTTTATAGTAAAGTAAGTTTTACTGTACTATGACTGCTAAGCACCTTGCTAGACATCAATGTGTAAAAAACAAACCACAAAACCAGAAAGACAAAAGGCAAACACTAGATGTACAACTACAATATCAACAATATAATGACAATACAGATGAGGAAAAAAAAAACATGACTGCAAAAGTTGGCTGAAAACTATTTGGACTGGAGAGAAATTGATTACTTGACATCATTTGCAGTGCTTTTTGGGATCATGGGTACCTTAAGACATTAAAAAACGTTTAGTACACAGTCTGGTACCTATGCATGTTTTTTTTCCCCTCAGAATAAATGTTTATAATGTCCAGGCTAATCTCACAGCTGATTGGTTTGGTTGGGTGCTTAAAACTCTTTCATAAAAGGATTTTTAGACAGATCTATTTTTACTTCTGGAACCAAAACCGCAAAAGAAAAAAGTGAGCAGTCACAGTTTTACAGTCAGAGGCAGGTCTGGGGGGACTCTGTTCCTAACAGTATTAAAGCTTTAATTTGAAGCGATAATGACAAGGCTGAACTTGATTTCCTATTTGCCAGCATTTTTTTTATTTTTTCCCCAATTTTAATGTTGCAGCAGTTCCAATACTTGCACCTGCACCATTTAAGGTGGAACAGAAAATAAAAAGCTGTCTTCGGTTTGTGTGATAACGTCGGTTTTCATTACCCACTGCGGTCTAAATGCTTTTCCTACTGCTCTGGACTTTTCCCTACTGAATTTTTTTCTGAGAAATGAGAAAATCGTTTCGGCTAGCAAGGTGGCCCTTCAGAGCCGAGTTTGGCATACACTCAAAATATAAAGCGATTTTTAAGCGGCTTGTTCATGTAGAATCTAAAACATGGTCGCCCCCTCGCTCACTGACAAAAAGCTGTTTTCAGTTTTTAAGACAATGTGGTTAAAATGCTCTTTCCTTCACTCCCCTGCACCATTCAACACTGAAATTTTCAGTCTCAGCAACCTGCTCAGAGCCACCAGTTTAGGCATGATCCGTAGGAACAGCATTTTGTGCTACTTGCTATGACACACACACACACACACACACATATTTTCTGAAACTGCTTATCATTCTGGGTCGCGGGGGGGACTGGGGCCTCTCTCAGCGGTCATTGGGCAGAAGGCAGGACACACCCTGGACAGGTCGCCAGTCCATCGCAGGGCAGACAGACATATACATTCACTCACACTTTCACACCTAAGGTCAATTTAGCATGTCTACTTACTATGAGAGTAATGGTTTATCAATGTTTAAACAAATTTTATTAATAAAAATAATTTATTAACACACAAATAAATAAATATACAACTACTATTACTACTAACAATAATAATAATTTTGTTCCTTGTCAGAAAAGCGCTTCTGTATAGCTGTAAGTAAAGTACATTTTACAAAGCATTTTTGGATGCTCCTAATCTGCCTCTTTCAACAACTCTTTGCAGGAATCACATGCAGGGCTAACGCATCTGAAGTCTTTTGTTTGGGTGGTTGAGCTGTAGTTCAATGGTCTCTAAATCCAGACATACACTGTGAGATTTTAGAAATGTTGCTCTTTGGTGACTCACACCGTATGTTAGAACAGACCATTGTGTACAGAAAAAGACTTCAATTTACGTACTCACACTGTGTGAAAATGCTCTGTCCATGAACAATTTTAAACAAAGCTGTTTCATTCAAAATAACACACTCATTGTGTCCCAATTAAGGGGCTGCATCCTTCAAAGGATGTGGTCTACGAAGGAGTGTCCTTTGAAGGCTGCACCGAAATGAGACGGTCTGCTCTACAGCTCATTTTCTGTTTGCGTAACAGCACCGCTGTTCCCGCCCTTACCAGTGCGTCACCAAACGTCACTCCTGTCAAGTTTTTTTTCGTTGCCATGGAAAAGGAGGACGCATTTCACGGCCGCATATGAAGGAGTCTGTGCTACCAACACTGAGCACTGAAGCTAAAAGCAGGCGGTGATCTACATGGTAGGACAATATGGTCTCTCTATAGCCTATTTTACAAATTAGTAACAATTTTTTTTTAATTCTGTATTAAAATTTATATCTAACTATTCTATTCAGTAAAATAGAGTAAAGTCAGCATAGATGGACGTTGGTAGGAAATGTCGACTTTTTCCCCTCTCTGTTTAGCTGGCCTGCCTGTCTACACCCGTATTTGGGAAGTGGTTGTGACTGTGTTTAAAACTGTCTAAAAACTCACAGTGTAGGATGGGTGGGAATCTGCCAAGGCAGAATGTTTAAAATAACCGACAGCTTTGTGTCAGACCTCCATGGAGTCCGTAACTCTAAGCTGTGTGAGCAGACTCTCCTTCTATGTGTTTGTTCATTGGGGTGGTAGTTACACTTAGCTTGCGTAACATGAGTGAATTTTTACAAGTGTGAGTATGAGCAAATAAGCACGGTATCAGCCCGATACCTGTGACCGGTATCGATGCGTCCCTTATGATACTGTTGTTATAATAATAATAATAATAATAATGATAATAATAATAATAATTTACTACAGGGACTACAGGCTATATTTTGTTTCATCCAACTTATTACATCTCAGAAAAACTAAATATTGTGATTCATATTATGTATCATGAAAATGTCTTGAATTATCCTGACTTAATATTTTTTGCCATATTGCCCACCCCTAGTTGCACTTCTAAAAAACACTCGTTTCCAGTTTACTACATCAGGGCCTTCATGTACTCACAGGCACAAGGATCTGCTTGCAGTGGCTGTGGAGGATCGTGTCCTGGAGCATACGGTCTGTGACATGGCCAAACACGCAGTGGCCTGTAGGCAGGCTGGCGAGATGTAGGTTGAACAGCCGTTTGACCTCACTGAGACACAGCACAAAGTGCTTTCTAAAAGTGTTCCGTATAAAGTCTTGGAGCTCTGGGGTAGAGGTCTGCCCAGCCCCATGATCATTGTAGGGGTCCATGTTAGGCGAGTCTGCAGAAGGATATCCATTGAGTGAACCATTTGGGAGAGCACTGGATGTGTCCACAGTCTCTTCAGAATCACTCACAGGCTCTTCTTTTATTCGCACGGTTGCGTCAGTTCCACTGGGGGCAGAAGACACAGCAGATGTTTTCAGTCTTCGGGTATCCAAGTCCTTCTGCAGAGAGGCATGGTGCTCCCGAGCGCTCTCTCGAGCAGCCTTGAGACGCTGCTCACCACTAATACACTGTGGCTCTAAAACACATATATGAACTCAGTTGCAAGAAAAAACTAACTAGTATGTCAACATGTTATTATTATTAAGCTGTAAAAGAAGTGAGAATGAAGATATCGCACTGAGGTCTGATAATTACCTGTTTGAGTATCCTTTTTCTGCAGAAAGTCCTCCTTTGAGAAGTTGAAAACTTTTTCCAACCTGCAACAACATTTGATTAAGAGTACAGAAATACCTGTTTTTTGACCACAAAAAAACATGCATCACCATCATGAAAACACACAAGTTTGACACAAAAATTAACAAATACAATTTTTAGTTTTACTTGTTCTGGATGCCCATCCAGAGCATGTGCTGTCTCTGAGCCACATCAGGGTGCTTCTTGACAAAGTCATGGTCGGTGGGCAACAGGAACTCCCAGCCTCTGTTAGCTCTGGGAACAGCCATCTGCTCCAAGAACTCCTTCACATCCTCAGGAGGCAGCTGGGGACACACAGAGCCAAGAGTCATGTTGGAGTAGACGGTAAAGTGGAATATTTAAAGGAATTTAATCAGAACAACTACTCATTGTTGTAAAATTAAGGTAAAGGTCCTTAATACAGATAACAATAATTTAGTAATGTTATAATATATCTTTGTATTATTGTGAGGTGTACTAACATGAAAATGCACACCAGTATAATGTTTTAACAATTTGTCTGCCAAGAAAAACTAAACAAGAGCCTAAAATTTTCATAAACAAAAAAATACATTTTAGACCAGAAGTGGTAACTGCATTACTGCTGTACTGCTCCCATGTTTATCAATGTAGTCATTCATACCAGCCAAAACTCTCAAATGAATCTAATTTTGGATCAGTCAGTCAATCATACCAACCTTTATGATGGCAGCCACTTCTTTTCTCATTAGTGAGCGCTCATGTGTGAACCTCCACATCTACAAAAACACAAAGACAACACGCAAAAGCAAATCACTGAACTAATCTTTTTAAGCATTAAAGTGGAACTTCTGTCCTGTACTATTTTCCATGTTCGGTATGTTCAAAAGGAAGCAAAGCATCTTATGACACAGGACAACATCAATATGTAACATAGTTCGTTTTTGTTTCTATCAACAAAGTGATTCCGATTGGTGTTAACTCACCACAAAGTCTCGGCCCCTACAGAGCACCTCTGCAGGCACCCCACTATGTGGACTGCAGGTGGACTTGGGATACAGAACGTCACTGGAAAAAAACAACAGTTGCAGGGAATTTTAAGCAACCCACCTCAAACCAGTGTTGTATGTGTGCATATTTTTGCAATAGTGAAAATGACAATACAAAACAATAAAAATGCGACCTCTAATTGCAATTACAAAGTGTGAAATTGATCATAGTGGGTCATTAGGTAAAGACATGAGAGAGAAACCAAGAAAGGGAGACCGCTCTTACCTCTTGACAACCCAGTTTCCCTGGACAAGCAGCGCCACCTGCTGTATGCAGCGCAGTACTGCAGTGGAGTCCGTGCCCGATGCAAGTAGTCCCATGAGGTTGGCAAATGGCATAACCTTGACTGAATAAATTGGGAAAACGAGGAAGGGGAAACAAACTGTAAATATCCTGACCCATGGGGAAGTTCTCTTAGTATGTAACCAATATCAATAAGAGAATTTACCATTCTTCATTAAGGTCTTGACCTGATCCCCAAGGGGCAGAGTACGTAGTTGGGCCATTGACAGCACATTGCTGGGACCCACTGGCTTCACTCTAAAAATGGCAATAAAAGACACAGATGATAAAATAGTGATAGAGTTTGCATTTTTAAATATCAACAGCATTAAGGTAACTGTGGAAAGAAAAAAAGATATTCTACTTACATCTTTTCTTCTGCTAGGGGCGGCATGAGCATGGCAAGGTATTCACTGGTGAAATTAAAGTATGCAATCAACAACATATGACAACGACAAACTGCCCTTAACTCAAAAGGATTTTCCCATCTGGCAAGAGTGTCATATCAAAAATTGTAAAAACAACATACTATATATGAAAACTAGAAAAAATGGCAATAAACATAAACACAATAGGCTTCCTCTGCTGCTTTGTCCAGATTCCAAAGGGAGAAATCAAGTGATCACAGCACAGGTTTTGCTCTATAAATAAACTATTCTGGATGCACTGGGATAAGCATTTTATTTGCGCCATTATACAAGCTTATATCCATTACTGAACAAAGTTTCTGAAAACGTATATGCTTTCGAATTTTGATAATTTAGTTTGAAGAAGTACAGCATGGTGTAAACTTTGTGTGAAGAAAATGAACTCTTCAATCTTTTCAAAAACTCTACCAGTGGAAACAGGTGACAATGACCTCTGATTTTTAGATTAAACAGGAAGTCAATGTAATCTTCCTTTACTTACCTCGGGGTTTTCACCAACTCTGTGTTCTCTGAGGTATCCATAGCCTGGCAGTAAAGATACTGGCGCTCGTGCTCAGAACGTCCATCCTAGAGGCAAGACAACCATCATGAGAGAAAGCAGTAGCTTTTTGATGATTACAGAACTATTCCTGCCCAGCACCACCAGCACAACCACCACCACCCCACCACCACACACACACACACACACACACACACACACACACACACACACACAGACACAGACACAGACACATTTCAGGTTTCATGGCTACTACTGACACACTTTTGTTCATTTTTATTGAGATCAGTATGTCATACAGTGTAAGAAACCATCTTAAGCAAGTCTATTTGAAATTGCTTAACAACTCCACATGGTTTGATTGGCACAAAGTTAAACTGGTTACTGTAACCATCAATTACTTGTTAGCTATGTTAGCCTAGCAGCACCAGTATAAAATAAAGGAAGCATGCAACCCTTGCATCATTCATTCATTCTTACCTTTAAGCTATGATAGTGTAAATGGACCCAGGGTTCTTCTGCCTGTTTCTTCTGCAGGAACTCATACGACTGGATACGCCGCTGACGAGCCTGCTCAGACTCTGGTCTGGCGAATCTCACCTTAGCAAAGAAGAAAACAAACAAACAAACAAACACACAACAACGAAACAAAAAAAAAGCCAGTGTTCATCAATGGACAAATACAACATAATCTATAAAAGCAGCAACAGAAAACTGTAAATAACAAGTGAGGTCAAAGGTTTGCTTCAATCAATGTGTGTGAAGAAAAATAAGTGATGACTAAATATTTAAACATTTGTAAAATAACAATGACTAAATGCTTCATGTATTTAAAAAGTTTAACCTATGTGATTGTGCCAGATTACAGTTTTTGTAGACTCTTACAGTGATCTGCTTGATATCGTCCTCTGCCTCATCTTGAGATGAGTCTCCAGCTGTTATAAGACACATTTATAAATAAGCATGCAAGAACATATCCAACAGGTTCATACTTTTCCAAAATCAGCTAGATTTACATGTATTTACAATAAAACAGCTTATATTGACTTACATAATTGGAGGGTATTCAAAGAAAAACAAAACAACAAGATTGCCATTACTGACTTCCCGAGCCTAAAAACTTTCCTCTATACTTAACCCTGGTATGTCAAACTTGAAGCTGTCTCAATAGACAAACTCAATTGAAAAACAAAACACAATCCTCACTTACCTTCATTGGCTGCCTCTCTCTCTCTGTGTTTACTGTCAGCCTTATCCAGATATGAAAAGCTGGGCCTCATTTGAAGAATGCCCTGTAATGGCGTGAGGTGAAGCTCCCCTGCCAGCAAAATTAGTCAGTCACAGTCAGAGGGACATTGTAGCACCCATCACTCACAGAAGCATTCAAAGTGAACGCAGATAATTACCTTTACGAAACACTGCAGCAGCATAGCGAGTTGTATTTGTAGTTGCCTGAATGGATGAGAATGTTTGCTTATCCATCATTTTTCTGTAGGAGAAAGGAAATACACATGCATGTGCACATTTAGATCCAAAACTCATTCAGATGCTTAGACATATAAATTACATAATAAAAGAAGTTATTTAAAAAAAAAAATGATCTTCAACAGGAAAAACTTAGAAATTCAAAGACAAATAAGCTACGAACGTGGAAAAAGTGTTGGACTCTTCTATTGATGTGCCATCCACATTGAGAGCAATTTGCTCCCCTTTACTGCGACAATAGTTTGGACTAACGGTGTCAATGGCCACCTCAAGTTCAACCTGAGCAGAAAAAAAATATGGAATACAAAGTGTCATCTGAATGATAAGCAGTATTTTAAGGGTTCTCAAAATGTTTATTTAAAAAAAACGTTAAGATTTTACGACTGTAAAAAACCTCACCTTTTGCTGCTTGGGTTTAATTTTGGCAGATAAATGAGTTACATCATCATAGTTCATGGTGGCTGGGCGCACAGGATACTGTAAGAGGAGACATTTCAGTGTTTACTTAAAGCGGTCACCACAAAAACCAAACAAACAACCCCTTAAGCAAATTAGAAGGAACATGCTTTAGCTGCTATCCTTACCTGGAACAAATACAGCTTGTCTGCAAGGCTTTTGGCAAGATACACATCAATCTTCAAAAAAAAAACAAACAAAAAAAAAAACAAATAAACAAGCAAAAAACATTAAGATTAATGTATTTGTGAAAAGCATTGCAAAGCATTTTCACAGCTTTCACTAGTTAAAGACAGAAAACAAACTTCACACACATACCTCTTGTATAATCGGGTCATCCTCCTCTCCACTGGCCATAGTGAAGGGACAAGGAGAAAACTTTGCCTCAAGCTTATGAACTCCCAAACCGTGAATAAAGAACTCCTGGGGTGTTCACAGCACACCATGCGAATGCTATAAACAAAATGCAATAATAAAAGACAAATTACTTTCCTTCTGACTGACAGTTATGTTCAACTATAAAAAGGCTTGATAAAACTTGCATCTTTTTGGTAATCTGGTTTAGTTTAAAAAAGCATAAATATTACTAACATTCTAAGCTGTGGAGTGCATGGTTAGCAATCACTACCTATTGTACACTCACCGAGCACCTCCTTGTATCTACACTCAGTCTGTAACTGTAGAACTGCAAAGTGCTCCTTATGGTAAGTGGAGCCGATAAAATGGACGAGTGTAGATACAAGGAGGTGTTCCTAATAAAAGTGCTCAGTGAGTGTATATGCACCTGCCCTTACACTTTCAGAAAGTAGAGAGTTTAATAGAGTTTCCAAAGCAGCATCCTCTCCATTATTTAAAGAGGGAAACCAATTTTTGCATAAACCACAGTTAAGATGTAGACAAAGCCAACAACTGGACGAATGCTGTGGCTGACCATGTATACCTGGTTGCGTACCTGGGCAAGGCACTTTACCCCCCACAGCCACAGGTGGCACTGCTCTGCTGATGACCAATAAAGTACATACCATAACACAAACCTACATGTGCCTTCTGAGCTTTACGTGCACAGTGATAAAGGTAAAATAAGTGATAAAGCAGTGGGGGCTATTTTGCCATACGAAGTTCTGCATATACTCCTTCGCCATGTCTGTGCATTATAAAAAAAAAAACCTAAAAACTTTAAAGTCTCAAAACTATCCTAAAACAATGTTTCAGGCATCAGGCAGTGTATTCATAACATGTAACTTTCTGTGAGGCAGCTTTGAAAGGTATGAAATATAGACATCTCGTTCTCTCCACTGTTGTGAACAATACTGGCTTGGCAAGTTCTCTAGAACACAGCATTTTTGCTCCAAAGACTCTGAGTGACTTTGTTTACATCTTAATAATGAATTATGCAAAAAATAAATAACAAAATGGTGGAATTCCTCTTTCAGAAAAAAAGTCCTAAAACTTACGGTCAAGCAATAGATGCTTACATATAAGTTGCACTTGTAAAGCAAAACACTGACAATATGCTTACAGGCCACAAGCCCAAAACGGCAACTATACAAGAGGACCACAACGTAAATGAATAATAATACACAGCCTAGCTGGCTATCCAACATACACAATTAGTAACAAGCTCTGCTGAGCATTTCCACTTAGCGAATAACATACTTGTGGAATACACCTAGGGGTGGATTGGAATTGCAGCACAGGTGTGAAACACTGAATAAGAATCATTGTATAATTATATACAGAATATAATCATATTCTGTAAGTGTGGCACTGCTGGGGCTTTTTTGTGTGTTTTAACATTTTATATGTATCTGTTTCAGTTATCAAAAACCTAATACTGCAAAATATACCATGCATCATGAAACAAACATTTTCAAGTATTGTGGTACTGTATTTTTGCCATATCGTCCACCCCTAAATACCCCCACCCTTCAAAAAAGTCAACTGATCTCCATTCCAGTTTTACACCTGATTTCTTAGAACCCATGATTCACACATGACAAGCAGCGACTTAATGTCACTGCTCGTATTTAAAATATCAAATAGAAAAAGATAAGCTCCAACAAAAAATAAGCTAAAACAAGCCACAAGAGAAAAGGTAACTGTATAATTTAAGGTAATTTATTTATTTATTTTTACCAATAAGGGACCAGCTTCACTGCCAAAAAGCAGGTCAGTTAGCAAACTAGCAACACGGTAAAGCTGATGCTATTTCTTTACCAGATTCCGTCTATTTAATAAGCCAATGGAGGCAGTTAGTCTACTTAACATATTCACAACCGTGCCACATCATACTCGCAGCTGCTCTTAAAACGTCCCTGCTCTCTGAAAAGTGTTTAACGTTATATGTAGAGATGAATATAGCTTTACAGAGGCTAGCACAAGAGCTAACGCTAGGTTTGCTACACGTAGCCTCGTCTTTTACAGAGAAGTTAAACTGATCGTGTTGGGTTTCAGGACACTTGTACAACACTGGTACATAGTAAATGATATACTGTGATCCTGATAATATTCTGTCAGGATAAGGCAGCGTGTTCGCAGCGTTTATCCTCCAGCTTTATCAGGCGGACGGTTCCCTCTTCGTCTCCACGTTAGTCACGTACTTTTCACTGTTACATCTGTCATTCGGATCAGTTCCCTCGACTACAACAAGCGCAAAAAGAGGGGTTGAATACACAACACAGAGAACCACCGTTTCTCTATTACACATCAATACGATTCACACTAATAACGAGTGAAATGCAAGAGGTGCTATAAGCCTCCAACGCTGTCATCTATGTGGGTTTAGCCAGCTAGCTAACGTTATAGCTTTGCACGCGTAACCCCAAAATCACGTTTCCAGGCCTCAGATTCTGTACTAATTAAAAACATGACTATCAGTCAGGGTTTGCTGTCTAACCTGAACTTTACAGGACGAACTTCACTCTCCTCTGTCGAAGTGGGTTCACCTTTTTCCAGTCCAGGTGAGCTGGCTCAGTTTGTCAGGCTCTATGGACTCTGCGCACTGCTACCATGTTGCTGATTCCAGCGCTTCCTACAGCCAGACACGTGGGGAGGAGCTGTGTGCTTTTGTCTCTTCCCATAATGCAATGCAATGCAATGCAATGCAATGCCAGGTCGCCGGGTAAGCCGTGTGTAGTCGTACCAGAGCCGGTTTAAGGGGAGCCTGGCCACTTCCTATTTCTCCCGTTATAACAAACACATGACCGCATAAACACCAGAGGGCGCCCGCGAGCGAGTACTAAATGAATGGGGGTGGATGGTGCTAAACGGCTAAAAACGAAAAGTTAAAATGGTTCCTAGCTATTTGTATGGGATCTTCCTTTAGTTTTAGAAAATAAAAGAACGTGTTTCACTAAAAAAGCAAAGAAAACTTACCTGTATTTTTCCTTTTTTCTACAGCGAACGGGTTTTTGGCAGCAGAACGCTAGCATTACTGCTACTGAGTGCTGATTTCTCAAATTTCTTAGCGTGCCACTTAGCATTTCACTTCAGATAACGTTACTATTCTAGCCTTTTTCAGTTCATGTCTTTCAGCTCAAAAACAGCCAGTTTTTGAAGAGGTAGTAAATTGATGCCAAGCGTATTGAGTGAGCTGAAAGCTTTATTTCATTCAAATTACAGGTCGTTGAAATGTTGTGCATTTTTGTGTAAAAATCCATCATTTTCCCCTAAAAATAATTTAATAAACACATGACATGTATCAGATTATTTAACAATACCTCTTTTATGTGAAACAGACCTCAGTGCATCCAAATAAAATTCATTTTTTGCCTCCAAAATACTGAAAATGTTAGGTGGTGCAACCTCTCCAACCATCTAAAAAAGGTAATTTAGTCATATAAAATTCTAAATAAAATAGTTTGACATGATTTTATGTTCAAAAACTTTAAAAATAAAAACTATGTTGCAAAATAAGGCAACTTTAAAAGTACTCAACTCACTGAAAAACTTACTTTCTCAAATGTCAGGTGGCACAACCAAAAACGAAGGACTTTTATTTTGACATGCTTTTACAAAAGAGGGGCCGGGGTATGGCATCATAAAGTAACCTTTATGGTACAATGCCAAAGTCAGTAGCCCCTTCACAAATTTTGGAAAAAACGTCATTTTTGAGTCAGGGTTAGATTGATTCAGTTCGCCATGTCAAGTGGTATGACCCCAGGAAAATATTAACACAATATAAGTGAAATAGACAATTGAAAGCTTTGATAACGCTAACTATATTTAAGATAGAATGCACATAGAGATAAATGCTAATATATACGTAAACATAAAATGCACATCATGTCCTTTGTAATAGGATTTTTAAAAATTGTCACATTTGAAAACCCTATTTGTCGTTGACATTTATATGAGTAATGTGCAAAAATGAACTTGAACCTGGCATTTATTGGATCTCCCTGCCAGCATTCTACAGCAGTGGAATCCTCACAGCGGTACTCTGTGTGTGTGGTGTGCAGTGGCCTTAGGAGAAACAGTAGGAGGTGGGCTCATTGAAATTCACGAGAATTATTTTAATGCTCAAATAATACAAAGTGCAACAACATGCTTTAAAGTTAAAATAGCAAACCCACAAATTATATTCTATGTTATTTAGTAATATTATTAATCAACATAGTTCCAATTTTCCAATAAATGACCTCATTCTCCCCTCCAAAATTGGTTTGGATTGTAGTTTGGTCTTCTGTTGTACTTTCTTTAAACTGCGCAGGTGGATAGATTTACAAATAGAATACAAATACAATTCAGAGATTCTGGTGGGTTTTTATTAATCAGTGTGACCAAGAAAGTGAAAAAGGTGAGTGTCAAAATGGTACTACAACAAAAAACCAAAGTGTGTAAGACACTAGGACTGTAACATTGTAGCTCTAAAATAAAACTATAATAGTACATAGTAATATAGTTAAGAAAAATTAGTTTAATTAAAAGTTAAATAACAATAACAATAATAATAATAATAATAATAATAATAATAAGTAGTAGTAGTAGTAGCAGTAGTAGTAATAGTTATAATAGTAATTAAAAGTAATTTTTAATTATTATTAAATTTGGCAAGATGGTGCTCCCCATGGCAGACGTCTCTGCATGCTCCTTTCACGACCATTGATGATCTGAAGAAGATTGTTGTGCTCTTATATTTACAGAGATTTGGTTATTGGGCAACATTCCCAACACAGCGGTCCAGCTACAAACACACTCCATCTCTTGAGTGGACTGCCTGGCAGCATCTGGGAAAGAGGAAGTAGTATTTGTGTTTTTCTTCAACAACATGTGGTGCATGAAGATTTAAATGTCTGATGTTGAAATTTTGTTAGTGAAGTGGAGACCATTCCATTTACGAAGGGAATTTTCATCTGTTTTCTTCCTGGTCACCTATATCCCACCACAAGCTAAGCAGCACTTGGACTACTTTATGACACAATCAGCTCACAAAAACATTTTTTAATCACTGCAATTTATGGACAGTTCTACCCAAATTTTACCAGTTTGTGAAATTTCCCACAAAAGAGAATAAAATTCCATGTTTGCTGCGGTGTTCAGGGTACTTACGAGGCTGTGCTCCGTCCTCACTATTGGACAGTCAGACCACATCTCCTTGTTTCTCTACCCGGTATACTGACCTTCAAGCAAGCTCCACCAGTAAGTAAGACTGTTATAGCATGGACTGAAGAAGCAGATTCTGTGCTTCAAGACTGCTTTGCCAGCACCAGCTGGGAGGTGTTCAAATGCTGCTATGTAAAAGGATGGTACTATTCACCTAAATCAAAAAACAAAAACGAGGTTTGATCCACGCTGCATGCCTGCTCCACTGCATTTGTCTCAGATATCTCTGATGACTACAGAAAAAGGCCCGATATGACCTACGGAGAGCCATTAAATAGGCTAAGAGACAATACAGACTTAAACTGGAGCTACAACACCACTGACAACAGGCACGTTTGGCAGGAACTGAAACAGCTCAAAGATTATCAAAACAGACATAGAGGGGAAATCAACTGCCATGCTGCACTGCCAGAGAAGCTGAATAACTTCTATGCTCTCTTTGAACACTTCAACACAGAACCACAGAAGTGGGGTCCGGAGAACGAGGACATGCAGAAGCCAGCTCTTACAGTTTCATCTGCAGAAGTGAGGAAGACTCTGAGCAGAGTAAACTCACGAAAACTAGCGGGCCCAGGAAACATACATGGATGCGCACTCAGACCATGTGCTGCAGAACAGGCTGATGTCTTTGCGAATGTATTCAAACTTTCTATTAGCACATGCACTAATTCTCACCTGCTTAAAGCAACCAGTGTGCCACTCCCAAAGAAAAGCACAGTGGCTGGTCTTAATGACTACAGGCCAGTTGCACTCCAATTGTGATGAAGTGCTTTGAAAGACTCATTTTGGCCCATAGACAGAACATTTTACCAGAAACTCTGGACCGCCTCCAGTGCACGTATTGACCAAACAGATCCAGAGAAGACACCATCTGCACTGCCATCCACACAACTCTAGAACACCTTGAGAGCAAAGACAGCTATGTGAGAATGCTGTTCATTGACAGCAGCTCATCATTCAATGCTATTATCAAATCCAAGCTGAATGAAAAGTTCCACACCTTTGGACTGACACCTGTAGTGTTTGTATGCTTGAGTGTAACGTCTTCACACAACACTAGCAAATAAAGGAGACCGGCAAAGGAGGTAGCGTTATTCAGCTCGTCTGACTCTTTACTGATTCACTTTTCTTTTTAGCGGATGTTCCACAACAAGAGGGGGGAGGAAGGATACTTACTTCAAAATAAGAGTCTTAGTGAACTACAACACAATACACAACAACACCCTCTTTGTGCACTACGTAATGGATTGTCTGACAGGCAGACCCCAGTCTGTCAGGATTGGAAAATACACCTCCAGCTCATGGGTTATGAACAAAGAGACCTCCCTGGGGTTTCATGTTGAGTGCTATTCTATACACTCTATTCACTCATGACTGTGTTGCCTTCCCATCTTCATCAAATTTGCTGATGATACCGCTGTCATGGGACTGATCACTGAAGCAGCTTATAGGACGGAGGTGGCAAACCTAGTGGCATTATGCCAGGTCAGCAATCTTTCTTTAAATATTGACAAAGCAAAGAAGATGATTCTGGCAAATTGGAGGAGGGCAGAGCAGCACAAACCACTGTTCATTTATCAGACGGAGGTAGATAGAGTGAGCACCTTCAAATTTCTCAGGGTCCACATCAGTGAAGATCACTTGGCCTCATAACACAACACAATTGATTAAGACAGTGCAACAATTTGCATTTTCTGCAAAGGCTCAAGAAAACAAACAAAAAAAAAGTTGGGGTGATCAATCCTAGTGCTGGAAATCCCCCACCCTGGAAAGTTCAGCTTCATTCCTTGAATAAGGTGTGTTAGATTATGGTTTGAGCTAAACTCTCATTTCAAGTTCTATATCCATTTGTGGGATACTGATTTTACCATTCCAACAGGGTATTTTGGAGAGTGTGTGATTGTGGTGTTGGCTTTACCATGTGCGGGGCTACTTTTTGCGTCACTTTTTTTGCATGTAATTAGTTTGACTTTGTTTACGTGGGGTTGTGGGGGCAAGGCACTCCAAAGTGCATGTGTTGAAAGGGCTCATGAGACCATGACCTGATATGTAGAACCCAATAGTGTAATACTTTCCCAATAATGTATTAATGGACAGAAATGTAATTAAATGTTGCACTTGGAAAATGTAATTAACATAATAATGTTATAACTTGCCCACTACTATGTCTAAACTGAAAATGTAAAAAGATTTTTACTGATAATGTAACACCTTACTACATTATTGGGAATTTATTACATTTTCTGGTTGAGCATGTGTAATACCTTTACTTTATTGTGAAAAATGGAAGGTACCACTGTTGGCCCTCTGGTTGTGTTCCAGTCAAATTTGACTGATTTATTGTTTTTTTTTTGTCCGGACTAGGTGAGTTAGAGCTGTAACGAGAACTAGTGTTACAAGAAGTCTTAAAAGTGTTCCTGTGTACACCACAGTAAAAAGTATGGGAAACCTTGATAAC